ATAGGTATTTGTGCTAAATTTCTCTTTTGCACATTTTTCGTTGTTTTTTCTGGTTGCGCATTTTTCTGTTTGCGCTTTTTTCCGTTTGCGCTTTTTTCTGTGTGCGCTTTTTTCTGTTTGCGCTTTTTTCCGTTTGCGCTTTTTTCTGTTTGCGCTTTTTTCTGTGTGCGCTTTTTTCTGTTTGCGCTTTTTTCCGTTTGCGCTTTTTTCTGTTTGCGCTTTTTTCCGTTTGCGCTTTTTTCCGTTTGCGCTTTTTTCTGTGTGCGCTTTTTTCTGTTTGCGCTTTTTTCCGTTTGCGCTTTTTTCTGTTTGCGCTTTTTTCCGTTTGCGCTTTTTTCTGTTTGCGCTTTTTTCTGTGTGCGCTTTTTTCTTTTTGCGCTTTTTTCTCTTTGCGCTTTTTTCTCTTTGCGCTTTTTTCCGTGTGCGCTTTTTTCTCTTTGCGCTTTTTTCCGTGTGCGCTTTTTTCTGTTTGCGCTTTTTTCTGTGTGCGCTTTTTTCTTTTTGCGCTTTTTTCTCTTTGCGCTTTTTTCTCTTTGCGCTTTTTTCCGTGTGCGCTTTTTTCTCTTTGCGCTTTTTTCCGTGTGCGCTTATTTCCGTTGCGCTTTTTGTTTTGCGCTTTTTTCCGTTGCGCTTTTTTCCGTTGCGGTTCTTTCCGGCCACCTTTGAGGAGCTACCCTTTAAAAAATCTGGCAACTAAAAGTAAAAGTAAAGTTCCCTTTTAAACCTGACGGTCTACGGGGCAAGTGAAGTAGAGTTCACCCGTTTCTGTAAAATCGGAATATGAAGGGATAATGTGTTCAGCACCATGCCCAGCTGGGTGGACTCAGGGACGGTCTACTGGCTTGAACCCGAGTTCGAACCCGATACTTACGGGTTAACAGTCGAGCTCCCTACCGCTAGACCACTCCGTTGAGATGTGCCGATTTTTTTTTAAATGCCAGATGTTTCAAATGGAAAATAGTGAACAGAAATACCTACGTGCCTGCACAGTGTTTGCAATGAAATCAATGTTTTAAAATATTCAGCAGGTAAATAAATAACATGTATCAGTTGATTGTTGTTTTTGATGAAATTCGGTAAAAAAAATAGTTGGATAGATAGGCCTATAGTTGAACTATCTAACGGTCGAGGTTGTTAACTCTCTAACGGTCGAGGCTGTTGGTCGAGGTTGTTAACTCTAACGGTCGAGGCTGTTAACTCTCTAACGGTCGAGGCTGTCAACTCTAACGGTCGAGGCTGTTGGTCGAGGTTGTTAACTCTCTAACGGTCGAGGCTGTTAACTCTTTAACGGTCGAAGTTGTTAACTCTGTAACGGTTGAGGTTGTTAACTCTCTAACGGTCGAGGTTGTTAACTCTCTAACGGTCAATGCTGTTAAAACTCGAACGGTCGAGACTGTTAACTCTATGACGGTCGAGGTTGTTAACTCTCTAACGGTTGAGGTTGTTAACTCTCTAACGGTCAAGGTTGTTAACTCTCTAACGGTTGAGTTTGTTAACTCTCTAACGGTCGAGTTAACTCTCTAACGGTTGAGGTTGTTGACTCTCTAACGGTCGAGGTTAACTCTCTAACGGTCGAGGTTGTTAACTTCCTGGCCTTGTTTACGACGAGATAGGGACACTGACCGTTAACGTCACTGGCAGCCATTGAACGAACCACGCACGTGGACAACTTCACTGATACGGATGATATTTTCAGTCGGACTGGTCTACTCTACAGATAAGGGATGATATTTTCAGCCAAGAGAACAACCACGGTAAACCGGAAATAGAATGGAGATTAGTAATGGCGTCGGATTTTAGAATCATTGAAAAGATGAGACTTTTAATTAAATGATAGTCTGGATTTTGATTTTGGATTACAAAATTATTTCTAATATTTGGGGAAAAAAGGTACAAGATAGAGTTTGATCCTCTAGATAAATTTCTGATTTGTTGATTAATGTAAATATTTTAATGCACGAATAGATATTTGTGGATTTTTTTTCACATTTCAAATATTAAAGTAACAATAAAGCGGAAGTGATCTCCCCGGAACTTTCTCGAATATTCTTATACTAGCCGTCGGTACCCATTACACGTGAAATACAGGCCTATATATTTTAATGTTATACTTGTTTGATCAAAACGCAATTTGCTTTACTACACGTTGAAAGATGTTAGTGTCAAAACAGAGAAATAATTGAATAGCTAACAAATCCGACACATTTAAAACAACAAAGGCTACCAATACCTTTTTAAAATACTTTTTTAAAAGTAATTTGTATTACTTTTGGCTGAGAAAATTGTATACATTTCATAGCGTACGCCTTGATAAGTAGATCTAGATCTATAGATCTAAATCAAATTGGAATGAAATAGTTCATTTCTTTATATTCTAAATTGGAAGATGACGCCATTAGTTTTGTGTACTTCCGTTGTTTAAAATTGACGTCATTGTTTGTTTTTTTTTGTGGATATGTGCCTAATTTTTATTTTCCTTCTTTAAATAAAATTTTGTTTATAGTTTATACATTTAAATTTCATCAACCTAGCTGTAACGGTACTCAAGTTACCGTGTTCACAGACACGTATACACATAAACGGACAGAATTGCAAAGCCCTGTCTTTTTCCGACTCGATTACGCCGAAATTTTGATACACCTGGACCTGGATTCAGAATTTTTGCCCGATTAAAATAAGTCCCCTATACTCCGTATATGATGAAGTGCTGGGGTGTAAAACAATGAAAACTATCATAATTTCATGTGATTTTTGTGCACAATTACAATACTTTCTCCATACTCTGTATACGAGAAAGTAAAAACCTCAGAATTTAACATATTACTGGTGCTTTTGTTTTCCGACATATGCGAGCGAATTTCGACCACTTTTTTCGGACAAAATACTTTCGAACTTTACACGTAGGTCAAGTGCCGACGACTATTCGATGTGGCACAATATTGGACTTAATTAAATGTTTATTTAATGTTTTAAATATATTAAGTCTCCTTTCCGCTGTTTATTGCTGTTATTTTTAAGCTAAGTTCTAATAAAGTTTAAAAAGCACTAAAAATTAATGTAAACAATATATAATGACAAGCTTTTATATTGCGCTAAAGGAAGAGAAAAAAAAAAACGATTTTCTTTAAATAATTAAATAATAGTGAGATCCTTACATTTCATAAGCGACCTTTTCATTTTAGCTATTTAAATCGTGTTTCATTATTATATGTTTAACGAAAATCACTTTTTTTTTCACTTGAGTCTTTACAAATACAAAACTTCTTTTTTTTGGGCAGTGCTTTTTAGTGTTAGCTTGATGCCCAGTGTTCTTTTAAGATTTTTTTTGTCCGGGGAGGGGGGAGGGGCGGGGGGGGGGGGGGCACTAGATATTTTCGGGGGGGGGGGCGGACAATATTTTCCGGGGATGGCGGACACTGATAAAAGTGTATGTTTCTAAATAAACTCCATTTCGTTCGGGGGGGGGGGGGGGGGGTACTTAACCCACACCCCCCCACCCCCACCCCCCCCCCCCCCCCCCCAAAGAGATGCCTGGAAGATGCTCTGTTAATGCCTGACCCTCTATCTTTCTCCGGGCTTGGGACCGGCTAGATGCCATTGAAGGTTGATCTAGGCGAAATTATCAGACTAGTTATTTTTAGCTAGACTATTTCCAGATCCTGCTCGAGCTGTAGTCCTAAAGCACACCAGAGTTTAGAGTTCAAACGTTCGAGTGTTTTTCAAGGCTTGAGAGGAGGGGAGGGTAAGAGTGCTCAGCCCCCACTCTACAAGGTTCAATGAGCTTTTGGCGTTACCCATTGAACACTGTGTAGCGAAAACCTTACAGTAATACACACCACTAATTCAAGAAAGTCCAACACTTAGGTTCTCTACTCGTTGATTCTTGACGAGTCGCTCAAACAGCGGGATAACCGTCATATCAGACTCTTGAGGTCGTTAGTTAAAGCCTGTGTCTCGTGGATTGGTCAGAACTTGAATAAGAAAAATGCCACAATCATCAAATCATGGCATTGATCCTGCCCTCGTCCTATCAAAGCAGTCAAACACAGTTTTCTTTCACTGGCCTCAATAGTAATCCCTAGTCTCAAATAACACAAAGAGCTTTACTTCACGCTGTCGAGATAATAATAATTTTAGTGTTTTGTTTAACAAATCATGTAGTCAGTGTCGGTGGTAGACAGGGCGATGACCACTTATCTACCCTTAATGCTCGCTACAGATGAATGCCAATATCCCCTGTAGAAACCAAGAAGAGAGCTTACATGATTCGCCATGTACCACATACAATCTCACTACTGAATAAGTAAACTATATCGGGACTATATTAAACAAAAAAAATGTGTCATCTCACGTTTCAAGCTATGCGGTCCCTTATTTAAGACATAAATAAATAAATTACGCTGTCTAGGTTTAACACGAAGAGCGGATGTCCGTGACACCTATGTTTCGAATGTTTATACTTGGCGTCCATTCAAACTTTTACGACATCACTTCCGGGGTAGTTTTGGTTAAACATTAGTCAATTTAAAAGCCGAATCACTTTAGCAGAAAGTTACGGATTTATTTATCATAATGTTTATTTTTATAAATGCAGTAGGCCTACATTTAATTATGCTTATTATAATAAATATTAAAAATTCATTCTGCATGATAATTATTATATTCTTAATAATAAATAAACTAAGAATTAAATCCTTCATTTTTAAAGACAGCTTGTAGCGGAGGGGGGGGGGGGGGGGGGAGGCGTAGGTAATGGTAGCTTTTTTAAGACATATCAAGCACTAACGTAGCTAAAGAGTTTAGGCTAATAGTAATAAGCTTACACCTAAGTTTACAAGTTTACGTCGTGAAACACACTGCTTCTTTTTATATTATTAACCTTCCGAGACAGACTATATATTAAACTGCTGGTTTACTTTAAATAAGGGAAGTAACAATATTTTGTTTTAGCTTTCATGGTTGCGTCCCCTGGCAGTAGATAATAGGTAGGAAAAGTCTATGTAATCATACTAAATTTTTAAAAAATTATTTTAAAAAATATGGCAAGCGATAAAATTATAGCTACAATTTTAAAAATTAAAGTCGATTAGGAACCATCGATTACACTCATTTTCATATTTTTGTGTTGAACAGAAGCCGTTAAAAATAATTTTGAATAATTGTACTAATTTACATATTTTATAAAACCGCCCTCAACCCCACCTTGAACTGAACTTAAGTGGCCAGGGAGAGGTAAACGATGCAAGTCATAACATTTGTTATCCATGATAAATACGGACAAGGTAATCAAAATAAACAAAATGGCGAACAAGGGAAGATTTTCAGTTCGATTCAAGCTTTAAAAATTCGTTTGTATCCCCTTTCATTACAGTTGGCTTATTTTTTTATGACTGTTATGCTCAGATTATTAAGATCTAACATTATTAACATTATTCTTATTAATTGTTAATCTACCTTTTTTTTAAAAGTGTTTTTAACGCAAGTTTCATAATTTTTGTTAGGCCTGCTCTTCTACGCCATGATTGATACTAAGATTCTAGATCTAGATCTCTAGATCTAGATCTAGATCTAGATCTATCTATTCTATAGTATGCTACGGCTTTTTAATATGTTTAATAAATTATTAAATATAAAAATACTAGTCTAGAGTCTAGACTAGAGAGTCTACTAGATCTAGTAAGTCTAGATCTATTATAATATTATTATTAGATAGATTAGATATTAGACGGTTTTTAACGCAAGTTTCATAATTTTTGTTAGGCCTGCTCTTCTACGCCATGATACTATTAGATTCTAGTAGATCTAGAGATCTAGATCTATCTATAGTATGCTACGGCTTTTTAATATGTTTAATAAATTATTAAATATAAAAATACTAGTCTAGACTAGAGAGTCTACTAGATCTAGATCTAGTAAGTCTAGATCTATTCTAATATTATTATTAATAATACCTAGATAATAGATAGATTATTAGTAGTTAGTTATAGTTAGCTAAGCCTTAGCCTTAGCGTAAGGAACTTAAATATATTAAATAATACTAAATACTACTTAATACTATATTATAGGGGAGGCCCTAGGCCTAAGTATTAAATTTATTAAGTTGATCTAGACCTAGATCCAGACTAGATTGACTAGAAAGATTATCTGTTAAAAAAATATATCTAGATAGATCTATTTTTAGGCTATTCAATAAAATCAATAAGTATTTAGTATAAATATTCTATAGGCCTAATGATTGTACTAATAAATAGTAGAATCTAGAACTGTAATAGATAGTATTGTATCTAGAATCTAGATCTAGTATCTGAATCTAAGTATAGTAGTGATACTAATTTAATTTACTAATAGTAGGCCCAATAGAAATAAAGTAGACCGTCTGACTAGTGTGTTGGATTTAGACTAGATCTAGATATAGTTTTAAGTTTTAGTATTGCTATACTAGCGTCTATCTTATACTCTATATTTCAGTTAATTATAATAATAGATAAATTAAATTAGGCCCATATTTTATATTATTACAAAGTGTCGCTGGTATAGATAGTTTTAGACTTGTCGTATAGTAAATAGTAATTAGTAGGGCAGTATATACATGTAGTCTAATTAATGATTAGTCTAATTAGTTAGAGCCTACTTGTTTAAATATATTTACTATTTAGTAGTATTAATAAAGTATAGTTACTCTATTCAAAGTATAGTTATTAGGTATAATACACAACCTCATAATCGCAAAATCATGACATTAGTGACTCAAGTTATTTAGTAGGCCAATAAGTTCTATATTAATATAATTTTAATAGTTAATACTTCTTAAATTACTAGATTTGTACAAATGAATACATTTTATTTTAGATAATTTAGGCTATGATACTGCTGAATACTTCAGTTACATTAGTATTATGAATTAGGGCCTATTTAGAGGTAATTATTAAATTACTAATTAGACGTATGATAACTTATGTTGGTCTAATAACTAATAGATTCATATTTAATAGCAGTAGGTCTGTAGGTATAGAATAGTATTGTAAAAAAATAAAGTATGCTTAATTTTTTACAGTTGTCATATTAATTTTAGTTTTAGTAGGTAGTAGTAGGCCTGTGATAGCGCAGGTAGTTAGTATTAGTATGTAAGTTAAACACAGTTAACTACTATAACTAAGCTTAATAAGGCTACAATTTTAAACTAAAAATTACATGCAGCCTAAATAAAAGGTTACAGACTAGTGCATTAAATAATATCCAAAATTTAAGTTTAATCTACATTAGTTTAATAATTGTAAAAATTACTGAATAGAACAGTAGGCTTACTTGTGAAGAGCTGTCTTATTTTAGTTCTACTTAATTAATATATGACTTAGTCTACTCTTAGTCTCCTGTAGTTATCTTTTGAACTTATTAAAAAATGCAGAATAGTTAATTAAGCCAAAAGGTGTCAATTGTCATAGATGGATTAACTTACTATTCAAATCAATATAATTATACTTATTTATTCTAGTAGGTGTATGAATTGATGATAGTTTTAGTAGCCTAGTTTGAATATAAATTTTCAACTAATTCTTGAGGTGGCTAAACATAAGTAGTAGACCTTTATTGATACATTTTTAATTTTGTTTTTTTTATGATATATACATGACTTTTGACACTTTTGAAGACCTATTGTATTTAATGACAAACTCCTTACATTAAAATATTAAAAGAAAATCTTAGATCTATATATTTAATGAATGGTAATAATTAGATAGCCCATACAATCCCATGCATAAATAGTCCCATCATTGCTTTATGATTTTTATAAGACAGACAAATATTTTTAATTATACCATAAAATGTTAAAGTATATAAATGTAATGAGTTTAATATAACAGTTTGTGAAATTTATTTATGTTTTTTTTTTAGATACTACATACAGAGAAGATAAGTCAGATGAAGTTCCTTTTAAAAACTCTTATCACTGAATCCTCCAGTTGACCAGTTCTGAAGACTTAATATACAGTATTCTTCAACAGTGGTCAGGCTTGACTGAAAATGGCCTACACATACCTATTAGATCCAACTAGTCCAAGGATACATGTTGGACCCAAGAAAACTTGTTCATATTGAACAACTTTTTTTTTAATATATTAGTTCTGAATGTAATTAAAAAAGAAATTTATAAAGTTTGTTATGTTTATTTTTTTCAGCACTGGTTGTGTGTGATGGTGTATGCGGAAACTAATTATTGTTACCTTAATTTAATAATTGACTTAAACTGGCGAACTATAAATAGTTTTTAAGAATATGGTGCTGAAGTAGATTTCACCTAGTTTTGTTGCCCTTCCATATTAATAAATTGTATGGTCAGGAAAATATCAAACAGCTTTTACTGTCCATAACCAGTCAGGTACCAGTTAACTGCTTTGAATTTGAATCAGAGACAACCTAAAGGATTAAAATTTAAACTCAAGAACTTTTGCTTTAGCAAATGTGTTCACAAATATGTAGTCCCACTATAAGTCTTTCATTTGAATATTATTTACATATAAGTTTATATCAATATATAATCTATCATTTGTTAATATTATTCCTAGTCCAAACAACATGCTGATATGAAACCCATTGTATTACAAGAAGAAAATAAGGAATGAAAATTTCCCATAAGACAGCTTGCTTATAATAATACAAATAATAATAAAAGGGCAATGTCTGCAAACAATTATACTTTAATTTTTTATTTAGAATTTTCTACTTTGTATTATATCTCGTTCAAAACGAACAATTATTAAAATATCTTATGTTATGGTTTAAGCTTCAACTTTAGTATTTTGTAACTATTACTTAAATTTTCTACAATGTTAAAAATAAAACTACTATATCTATCATAGCTGTAAAACATGATAAGGGAAGAATCAAGAATATGGGTTTTTGTCAATTCTAGCCATACCAGCATATAAATGTAGACCAAGCTTATAGAAATATGGCTGATAACTAACCATAAACCACAAATACAGCAAACTATAATAACTGCTTGTTTCCTGGTAATGTGTTGTTATTGGCTGTGCAAGTTTATAAACATTTTGTAATTGTTTATACATTACAAAAGAAAAAGACTGTAGCTGATCAGATGCATTCCAGATATTTGAGGAAAAGATGTTTTCTATAAGGATAGGCAGCTATAGCAAATGAGGTATGGGGAAATGTTGAGTTAAGATAAACTATTTAATAATTGTAATGACAGAGATACCATCACAGCAACAAATGTAATTGGGTTTGTATGACTAATTAATGAATATCCTATAAATAAATATAAAATGCTGAGGTGGTCGTCTATAAACGACTTTGAGGTGGTGGTGGAGATTTGGACCTTTGTGTCAAAGGGGAGGGGGTTCAGAAAGTAAGATGACACTTTTCCATGTTCAACAAACACTCATGTTAAGAAACTGAATTTAAGCCTTTATTGCATTATTAAAAGTTGGTTTATAAATTGTTGTAAATAATTCATCAATAGGCCTACATTGAATGCTGGAAAAGCCCATAGGCAGAGTTTCTTCCAGGCATCTCTTCGGGGGGGGGGGGGGGCGAAGCCCCCCCGAAAATTTTTTACCGCCCCCCCGAACGAAATGAAATTTATATAATTTATATAGAAAATATATACTTTTAACAGTGTCCGCCCCCCCGAAGAAAATTTACCGCCCCCCCGAAAATTTCAAGTGCCCCCCCCCCGGAGAAAAAAGTCTGGAAGAAACACTGCCCATAGGTCTAAATATTTTATGAAAATCGCTGCTTTAAAAACAAACTAGGGGGGGGGGGGGGGGGGGGGAATGTTGGCTTAGGTTTACTTCTTTGGGGAAGGGGGAGGTCTGGCATCGTTGTGACATCGTTAATAGATGACCCCATAGTCAGAGGTCGATCTAGATTGCTTAGGCCTATATTAAAATATTGATATTAATTACGCTTTACTTATTATTACAATGGAATATAGCCTAGTAGTTTAATTATGTTAAATAATATAACATCCCCTTTCACCACAACACCCTGACTATACTAATCCAAATTAAAATAAAAATGTTTGGTAAATTACTATTATATTATTAGTAATTTTGTGTTTAAAATTCTAGCCTTAGTAAAAACCGGAAGTGATTTTTACTTATTTCACAAATGTTATAAAATATTCAATTTTGGTTCAAAAATATGCTTTCTGGCAACACAAAGTGGAACCACTTTTGGAACCACTTTTCCTACCTATTCCAAGAACACTTTAATATACCTATAAATACTTTTAAGTGTTTAAGTACACATTAACTTTTAGTATGTTCATTCTCAAGATCTTTAAGTATAACTTAAAGTATAAGCGGATTTACCTAATCTTGATGGTTGATATCAGTTACTGAACTCAGTTTATAAGAGTATCGTATTGTAAACGTACGTACTTTTACCACTCTACCACTCTCATGGGTGTAAGTGGTTAAGTAACTTCAATTAACAAACACGTCTTTGAACTGAATCTATTTAGGAATTATTGTTGACTTGTTCAATACCGGATTACACTTGTCTTATGTTTCATTTTTTTTTCCTCTCTTGAACAAGTTCACTATAAATAGAGATGCAGCCATATTTATCTTACGCTATTGTGGTTGTCATAGCAACAGCTCACCAAATTCTAATAGCGTCGTATAGCAGCACTGTGACGATCTGTTGTGAGGGCTATGACGCAGGTATTTTGCCTACACGGCAGTCTTGGAATTATATTAAAACCTAGTGCATGTACAGTGTAGGTGGGAAATATTCCTCTTTATTTGTATTTTAATTGTATGGAAAATAAAAATAAAACTCAACACCGCCCACACCACAATGCCATATATATATATATATATATATATATATATATATATATATATATATATATATATATATATATATATATATATATATATATATATATATATATATATATATATATATATATATATATATAATGCTGCAGTTAAAGTACCAAAATTTTTATGACTATAAAGTAAAACCTTTACATAACTTCCTCAGTTTTACTATTTTAAAATAAACGTTTGAAGTCACGTTTATGTTCTCCGCTCTCCCCCCCCCCCCCCCTCCCTTCCAATCTCTTAACACTTTAACACAATTTTAATTCTCGCGAAATAAATTAATCAAGATCTACAAAATGAATCTTTCCTTCAGATTTCAGATTTCCTCACGTCTCATGCCTGACCTTATGACTGTAATGACACACTAGCAAAAATAGATTAAAAATGGATTGGATGGAGAATGAAAATGAGTAATCTGTATGTGGTATCAATTGCATTGGATCCAGGAATCGATGTTCTTGAATTTTTTTCCTTGTGCATGATATAGGCTTGAAGATTTAATATAATTGAACCAATAACTTGTTCTATTTTTAAACAAATACTGTTGTACATTAAAAGTTTTACACAGATGACTTTAAAATATATAAAATGCAATGTTAATATAGTGTAATATGGATGATTTGAGTTTTTTCATGTCATGGTTTGAGTATTTTACTTTTTGTTTAACTACAAAATGGTGTGTGGTAATGTCATTCAATTGTAAAGTATATCTAGCTGAGGTCTACTTTCTTCGAGTGTAAAGTATGTCTAGCTAAGGTCTACTTTCTTTAAGTGTAAAGTATGTCTAGCTAAGGTCTACTTTCTTTAAGTGTAAAGTATGTCTAACTGAGGTCTACTCTGTCTACTTTCTTTAAGTGTAAAGTATGTCTAGCTGAGGTCTACTTTCTTTAAGTGTAAAGTATGTCTAGCTAAGGTCTACTTTCTTCAAGTGTAAGGTATGTCTAGCTAAGGTCTACTTTCTTTGAGTGTAAAGTATGTCTAGCTAAGGTCTACTTTCTTTAAGTGTAAAGTATGTCTAACTGAGGTCTACTCTGTCTACTTTCTTTAAGTGTAAAGTATGTCTAGCTGAGGTCTACTTTCTTTAAGTGTAAAGTATGTCTAGCTAAGGTCTACTTTCTTCAAGTGTAAGGTATGTCTAGCTAAGGTCTACTTTCTTCAAGTGTAAAGTATGTCTAGCTAAGGTCTACTTTCTTCAAGTGTAAAGTATGTCTAGCTAAGGTCTACTTTCTTCAAGTGTAAAGTATGTATAGTTGAGGTCTACTTTCTTTAGTGTAAAGTAAGTCTAGCTAAGGTCTACTTTCTTTAAGTGTAAAGTATGTCTAACTGAGGTCTACTCGGTCTACTTTCTTTAAGTGTAAAGTATGTCTGGCTGAGGTCTACTTTCTTCATGATAATATTAAATGTTGACCTAATCTAAGATTTGCAGCAAACACTTTTTATATACAAATGTTAACAGACCTTTTAAAAAAGATTGTATTTCCTTATCAGATAGAGTTTAAAATAAAATCACTTTAATCTTACCTTTCTAGAAACTTGTTCCTGCAGATTTGTGATGTACTATTCAAATGATTACTGTAGCCTACTAGTAGTGTTTTTATCTTCCCCCCCCCCCCCCCACACACACACACATTTCCCAGTTTTCAGTTTCATTAAATGCATCAATGGAACAAGGTAATCCAGATTTAGAAATGATTTCAAATAACATTATCTAACTCACTATAGACGCGTAGCGAGGGTGTGGTACATATGTCCCTGGGCGCCGACCTTAGGGGGCGCCAAAATGGGTTGGAAAATAATCTCATTTTAGCTGCATTTTTTTTATTATAAATATTTAAAAATATATAGAGGGGAGGGTGCAAATCGAAAGTTTGAAGGGGAGGGGGGTGCAAATTGAAAATTGAAAGGTTGCTCCCAGGGGGGCACCAAATAAAAAGTTTGTCCCCGGGCGCTGAGAAGGGTCGCTACACCTCTGCTATATTTAACAACAATTTTATGTTTTAATGCACTGTAATTTTACAATAATGTCATGCTATATATCACTATACTTTAACAGTAGTTCTATGCTTTATTACATTATACTTTTACAAAAATGTCATGCTTTATTATCCCATGCTATACTTTCACAATAATTTTGCCAACATTTTCCCCTGTAAATAGTTCTAGAAAGGCTGCAGGCATGTTCTTGAATCCCTCTCGTACATGTTCTTTTGTTTTGATCTTTCCCTAAAAAATAGAAACCATACAGTATTTAAAAGGAACAAATAATATGACAAAATATGATTGGTCTAAAATAAGTAAAATTATATCAAATATAAAAATTATTATTATAATTAGTGGCAAATTTACTAATATGTTGAATTTAATTGTAATTTAATCAAACCTGTGTAATTAGGGATATTAGCTCTTTCCTCACTCTAGGGAACTGGGCCAGGTTCTCAGGGGTGAATATAAAAAAACCTTGAACTTTGAGCTGTTTAAACAGGATGTCATTGTACCAAAGTTTACCTGAAATATTTCAGCCAGTTAAGGTCATACTTTTTTATAAATCTATCCATAAAAGCAAACACAATCATGATAGTAACAGAACCTGGACAATGACTATAAAAAAATCAATTGCAACAACAATAAAACTAATTTAACATTACATATAATCATGTTCCTTTGCAACTATACTAAAAAAAATAACTCACTTTTAAAATCTGCTGGTTTTTTTTGCTTTTTTTTTTTTTTTTTTTTTTTTGAGAAAATTAATCCTTTCTCAAATGCCCTACCTGTCTCAAATGCCCTACCTTTCTCTGCCCCTGTATTGTAAGTGGAGATGAGGCCACAGATTAAAACACGTCCGTGGCTGCGTAGTTTACTGTAAACAATATCTGAAATGTTCCCTCCTACCTGAAAAGAAATTTGAAAGAATAAATTTTAAAAGTTTTACATTTTCATTTTTTTTAAAAATCAATGTAAAACTAATTTAAATTATTAAACTTTATAACATTGCCTATGAACTGGAGCAGTGGGTTAAAAAATAAGTAAGTTATATAGTAAGTATATCTTAAAAAAGAAATAATATTCTTAATTTTAATTTAGTTTCAAACTTACTGAACAGTGAAATAGAAACCTAAACTAAAATTGCTTATATGTGTTTATTAATCCTCATTGTTTTATAATTAGACCACAAACTTTTTTCAGCAATAATTAATGTATATTTTTTAGAATCGCTAATGTGTGTTTAATAATCTTCATTGTTTTATAATTAGACCACAAACTTTTTTCATTAATAGTTAATGTATATTTTTTATAATCGCTAATGTGTGTTTAATAATCTTCATTGTTTTATAATTAGACCACAAACTTTTTTCATTAATAGTTAATGTATATTTTTTATAATCGCTTATGTGTGTTTAATAATCCTTGTTATTTTATAATTAAACAACAAACTTTTTTCAGCAATAATTAGGTATATTTTGTTCATATCTATCTGGCAGCTCACATTGTCAAAATAGATGTCCACACCATCTGGTGCAGCTGTGTCAAGCGCCTGTGAGATGTCCTCCACCTTGTAGTTGATGGCATGATCAAAGCCCAGGCTCCTGAGGTACTCACACTTCTCCCTGGAGCCAGCAAGGCCAATAACTCTCAAACCCTGAATTATAAAACATAAAGTTATGCACCTTTGTATAATCTACAGTTTAAAATTTATTATAAATTTTTATATTTTTAAATTTCTTAGTCACTTATTAAATATTTTAACATACTGATTTACATGGGGGTGGGGTAATTTAGAATTGAGAAAGGGAGTGGATAGGCACAATTACTAGACTAGTGTTGGAATGGAATTCACAGGGAAAGGTATTTAGAGAGAAGGAAGGAAAAAATGGAAAAAATTGGTCAAGAAGGAGATGGGACATGGTCTATGGTAAAGAAAATATCTGCCAATCAAGTTCATGTCGGGATGGTGTGGTCATCACTAGTCCCAGCACCCTTTGCTTTCCCCACATGAGTAAGATACACATCACAGCTGGGTGGACTCAAGGATGTCCTACAGTACAATCTGAACAGAGATCTGAACTCATGACCTTCAGGATAGTAGATGAACGCTCTACCATTTAACCACACCATCCCTAACAAGTTAACTGTATATATTTTATTGTAGGGCATACTATAAATATGCGATGAATAATTATGTATGCCAGACTTTTGTGGATTTGTCTGCTACATGAACATTTATAAAAAAGGTGAAAGCTATTGGTATCAAATAATATTTTACTTGCAGTTTGGCCAGCTGACCAACAACTGACCCCACTGCTCCAGCAGCTGCAGTAATAACAATTGTCTCCCCTGATTTGGGTTCACATCTCTCGACAAATCCCAAATAAGCCGTAACTCTGAAATATATTCAAACTTTTTTTACATATATTTTTATATCATATGTCACATAACTCTGAAATGTATTCAAACTTTTTTTTACATATATATCATTTATCATATGTCAAGTAACTCTGAAATATATCATTGAAACTTTGGGAAATATTTTTTTTTTATAACTTACATCATGTAACTCTGAAATATATTCAAACTTTTCTACATATATTTTTATATCACACAACATGTAACTTTGAAACATATTGAATCTTTTTGACATATTTTTATATCATACATCATGTAACCCTAAAATACATAATTGAAACATTTTGACATATATTTTTTATATCTTACATCATGTAACTCTAATAAACAAATCTGTAAGAATCATAATTCAAACTTGTTTGTTAGCCAATATGTGTAAAAATATAACAATTTATAAATTAGGTTTCTTACTGAAATAAGTTTTCAAATATAAAATCAAGATGACATTCTTGGTTGGTTATTTTTTTTTTAAATATTATAATCTATATGTTGTTAGATGTAATGGTATAAAGTTTTACATGATATTGTACCTAATAGTATTTCACAAAAAACTGAGCAGTTGTTAACATTTAAAGCAGACTGAAAACTGCTACACAGAGTTTACCTACCCCGTCATTCCAACAGTGCCAAGCCAAAGAGACGGGGACAGACCCTGAACCTCTTCTATCACCTCCACTTTGGTGTCAAAACTTCTGCATTCAGACACATTAAGTACCGTATGTGAGCGCCACCCTGCATGGACACACACTAGAGAGCCAACAGGAAAGTTTGGACTCTTTGATGCTAGAACCCTGTGAAAAGTTAGCTCTTTAACATTCCTTTTGTTTTGTTATTTAAGTTGAGCACAGGGTAACATATTTTAATTTAATACATGCTCAGAAAGAGAGCAGAATTTAAATAACATTTCAAGATAAAACATACATTAATATTTCATCCAGTAGATTTTTAAAAATTAAGTGTTAACAACAAAGATAGATGTTTAAGTATAGACAAGTTAATTAGAAAAGTCTAGTGACATTTATGCGCAATTTCCTTATGTTATCTAAAAATAGCTCTGACGTACAATGCTGGGGTGCGTTCAAGCTAGAAGAACGATCGGTTTGTAGGTGTTTATGTAATTTTAAAATTTGTGACCGAACGAAAGGATATTTTTGAAAACTTTCTTCGGCAATATTGTTCTAAATTATGGCAGGAATCGATTGGTACATGTTTCAAGTCGCTAAGTGGTCTGGTTGCCGATATATGGGCCAAAAACTGAATTTTTTCGAGGTTTTTTGGCTTTTCCGGGAAATACATGAAAGAAACCCGGAATTTTTATGGCCTATGCTCATTCTCGTAACTTGCTTAACATAATTGCTTTTGGAACTAGTCATCGATATTGCTTCGTTGAGAGGAGGGGATACGACTTAAAGCCCGGACACACATTCATCCATACATTCATTCATCCATCCATTCCCAGAAATGACGAGTTAATAAACGCAATTCTCCAGAATGGAAATAGCGCTAACAATATTATTAAAAAAAATGATACGCCTATGATTAAAAGCAAAAACAAAAAATTATTTTTGATCAACAAAAAACAGACAAATTTAAAATATTTACCTGGCCACCTGCTCACCGGGTAATGGTTGACTACTTGACGCCAGCAACCTGAAAAAAAATAGGTCAAATAGAAAATTGGCTAAAATATTTTTGGTGGATTAAACTAGTTTTTTTTTTTTTTTAATATTTCTAAATTTATGTCTATATATTAAAGAAAAATAACTTGCCTGAAGTATGGGTCGATGCTTAAATACAGTGCCTCAGCCAAAATTTCTAACAAAAAGTTAAACAGTCATTATCAGGCTGTTATATATATATATATATATATATATATATATATATATATATATATATATATATATATATATATATATATATATATAAAGTTAAAAGTTCTATAACATAATAAATTGTTAGATCCTGCAAGGTACTATAGTCTAAGTTTATGCTTAAAATAAACTATCAAAACATTAAGGACTTTTATTTTCTTAATGAACTAATAATCTATTTATTAATATCACTTTTTAATAGCCTACCACCACATGCCCCAACATCTTATCCCAAGCCTAGGCCCAAACGACGCTCATTTCAACTGATTTTATAATAATTTATTAATAACAATAAATCACATCCCTATTTTTTGGTAATGTCCATTATTAGACTGTGGTAAAAAAATCTTATAAATCATATTAACCATCTATATATATTCAACATGAACTCAATCTTGCATGGTGTCTAAATTCTAAAACAAACCAAAAATATTTGACAGAGTTGCAGTTTCGTAGGCATGGGGGGGGGGTTAGGGTGGGTTATAAACCCCCCCCCCCAATAGACCCCTCGGTATATATATATAAAAAGTATGAGGGTGTGCAAATCAAAAGTTTGTCCTCGGGTAAAAATTGGAACCCCCCCCCCCCCCTTGAGACGATCCTGGCTACGCCACTGCAGAGTTGTGAAGCTAGATCAGTGTACCGTATTTACATTTTAGAATTAATGTATCTACGCCGATATTGTATTACACGAAGTAGTGTAGAAAAGCGCGGCGGATGGTGCAATCCGCACAGGGTGACTCGCAATTTCTATAAATCGTTAAATTTACTGTTAAAACAAAGCTTTATCCAGTTAAAATAATAAAATAATAGGGGAGAGGGATAACTCTAAATGAAAAAAATGTTGGAGGGGGTGGGGGCTACACTCCTAGTACCGCACCGGGTGAAACACGACCTAGTGCAGCGGCCACTGCTTCCATAATGGACAACACTACCCACACGCTCATCTATAAATAGTCTTTCTTGGGGGGGGGGGGGGGGTTGCCCTTCCCCCTGAATAATGTCTACCGACCCCCCCCTCCCCCCCCCCCCCAACTGGAGAAAAAAAGTCTGGAAGAAACACTTTCTATAAATTAATAAATAATAATTAACAGGCCTATAGCATTGCTTTGAAGTTATATGTAGTCCACTAGAGCACTGAAGTTAATAATATAGTTCACATCACCTACTAACTAATTAAAAAGTAGGCTAATAAAAGTAGGCTAATTGGTACATACTAAGTACCTCTAAAAATGAAATGTTTGTAAGTAACTTACCTAGACTAGATCTATTTTTAATGATGTTTGAACTACATTTTACATACCATTATCCTTTAGCTCTGGTAAGGTTTCCTCTGTTAAATGAAAATCGTCAATTTTCGGGGTTCCATTAAAAGAATTTTTCAGCGACCAAACTTGAGCTACCGTCATGGTTTAATCTAATTATTTAATAAATTAAACCAGATATATAAAAGTTAGCATGTAGCTAATGAATCAATCAAATTTAATACTGCTACATTTTAAACATTGGTTTTTATATTTATATCGATAAGCCAAGACAAAACACATTACAAAAATTGTTTTTTAATATCTTATATTTACTGGGTTGTGAAGTATAGTGACATAGCCTCGAGAGAAGACTGTGAAGATGACTTTGTTGACCGCGTAGGAATGCCAGCGGCGTCGTGTTCTCCAATCTGCCGTGTCGGTGAATGTTCACGCTTGACTTCACTTGCCGAGACAGCCCGATTGTTCGACCCCCCCCCCCCCCCCCACACACACACACCCAGCCAGCCATCTACCAGACCTAGCTAATCTAAGTGCGTGTGCGACAGTGCGTGTGCGACAGTGTGTGTAATTTGTGTTACCGCGCCTGTGACAGCGGTGCCTGGCATTAGACACTAGACTCTAGAGCAGGGGTCTCCAAACTACGGCCCGCGGGCCGGATGCGGCCTGCGAGGTTATTTTTATCCGGCCCGCGACGATCTTTTTGTCCACTAAATAAATGTTTGTTGGAGGTGGCTGAGGAGCTTTGCACAGAAAATTCAAAACAATTTGAAAATGTAGCTTTGTGTGCAAATACAATTACTCGCCGTATTGCAGACATTGGTGAAAATATTGCGACTCAAATAGCGAACAATTCAAGCAAGTTTCGCCATTTTTTCAATTGCATCAGATGATTCGCTGGACAGCTGTTCCACCTCTCAACTTGAAATTTGTATATATTTTTATATAAATTATATTTCGTTGGGGGTGGGGGGGTGGGGTGGAGGGGGTAGACGTTCTTCGGGGGAGGGGGGAGGGCGCCACGACCCTGAAGAGATGCCTTAAAGAAACTCTGGCCCCCGAACTGATATTTGATAGTTAATGCGGCCCTCGGGCTGAAAAGTTTGGAGACCCCTGCTCTAGAGAGTAAGGCTCTGTTCTAGAAATGTTTTCTTAGCTATCAATGGCGGCACTAGTTTGGGCGTCACGGTCTAGTTGTGATCAGCTTCATTTCAAAGTATAAATATAGACTTTATATATATGTAAGTCTCTGTGGTAATCTGCTATTACCGCTCACGAGGAAATGTGCTAAATGAGAAGTAACCATGGAAATACAACATTATCAGAAAACATTTATTACATCCCTTGTTTTTTGACTTGTTGCGCGGGGGGGGGGGGGGGGGGGGGGGGCAATTTTATTTGTTCTCGTGTTAGTACTTTTTTTAAAAAAAATGCATTATTTTTTTATATTTAAATTTTTTGACCAAGACTGCAAGAGTTGCGAGTTTCCATGGTAAGAGGAGTATTTGAGAAAAACAGAGATTAAAACATTAATCTAATGGCGTTTTATAATATGTTAGCACTTTTATTTCTGAATCAAAATTCTATAACTAACTAAAATAAATATTTTTTTTGAGTGGAGTATTATTAGTTATTAATAGTTTTTTTCTAAGTGTTTACACTTTATACGTTGCTTACATGTAAATTATAAAATTACTTTGTGATTTTAAATCTCTGTTTTAGCATATGGATAGCCAATTTGGCAAATCATCCGCTGCCTAAAGTTATTCAAAACTACTTCCTGTACATGCGCAGCGTAATATACCTATTTTCGTTTACTTTATTAACACTGGTATTGAAAATATTAGTTCTCTCTTCTAGATCTAGACTCTAGTCGTAGATTAGTAGATTATCATAGATATATTTCTCGAGTTCTAGTTAGAACTAGGATCTAGTTTAGTATATTTGATTTAGGAACTAAATTAAGATCTACTAGTGGTACAAATATTTCCGATTATTCTGCTTTTGTTATGTACGGCCTAAGTAAAAAAAAAGTATTCGAGTTGTTGTTAAATTGTTATGAACCATGAGCTCATTCTACTCATTCTTGAGTTCACGAGTTCAGCAGTATGCTCTCTGGCTCCTCATGTTTATGACAAGTAAATAAATAGGACTAATTTGTAACTATCTATTAGTCTTATTTAGATTTAGAGAGCTTATACATTTTAACTAAAGAAAGTAAAGATTAGGCCTTTAAATTTTTTTTTTTATCAAACTCAGTTTTGCACAGAAAGTCAAATGTTTTTGTTTTGTTTAATTGGGGGGGGGGTGGGGGGGGGGGGGTTTAAAGTATATATTGTATATATTCTGTTGACTTGCTTCAGGGGTCCCCCCCCCCTTTTTTTCCCCTGAAAAAGTGCCTGAAATTAACTCTGTTGGCTAGGGACTACGATATCCGTCAAATTTCGGCCCGGAAACTGCGCGACCGCCGCCATACTAAACTTGATTCTGGTTTCCGTCCGCCAAAACATAGCTCACTATATAAAGCCAGATTCTCATTTCAAAATCCTTTAATTCATTCCATTTGTCATAAATACTGATGAAGGAATAATTAAGTTTTCTATTGAGCAAGCTTTTTCTCGTCGCCATCGACGTATCTTTGAGTAATCTACAGTTCTTGGACAGGTATGTAGAAATATTTAATTTATTAAATAACTAAGCTTGATAGTCATTTTTTTTTTAAAGATACACCTAGATTTATCATTTAAGTTTATTCTGAAGTCTTGTTTTTTAAATTTGAACCATCCCTTGAATTAGATAATGCCTCACGAAGTGCCGATGGTGTTAAAATTTCAGCCGACACTCGGCAATGTCGGTAGTTACCTATTATCGATAATGGCCGACTCGGCTGTGAATAAGAGATACTTTTTATGTATCTGTTGAAATCTTAACCAATCTTAACCTATTTAAAGCATCTGCATCTGATATTTATATTTTAAGATTATTTAATCATTATATTTTATTAAAAAGACATTATTTTATTTCTTACTACTGTGTTATTTTAGAAAATGTACTAAGTCTAAGCAATAGTAATAGCTGGACTAGCACTGAAATAGAAATCGTTTTCTTAATTAAAACAATAGAAAATAATCTTGGTTTGTAGAAGTTGAAAATATAATATGAATGAAAGCTTTTTATTTTCTTTCATCAGTAATGCAAATGGAGAGGCCTTCCAAAACCCTTCATGATTTGGAGCTTCTTGTTAATTCGCACAAGAACAACAAGTTTACTAATGGATTTGTGTACCACATTTTTGTGAATAACAAAAAAAATGTAAAGAAGACAGCAACATATCTTCTGGAATTAGGTGGTCATCCAGATTGTAAAGCTTCATCTTTACAACTTGTTTTAAGTCGTTTGAATGCCAGAGTTACTTCGCTGAAGATCCATATTACTAGGAACTGGGCAAATATTGAATGCTTGCTGAATACTGATTTCCACTTCCCTGTAAAGCAGCCACTTAGCACTGTACAGCCAAAGATGCCACCTCCCATTTCACCTTTAAAAACGAGGACAAGTAAGGAATGTTTTTCTTGTGACCAAAAGCAGCAGTGCAACAGAGAATTGTTTAAGGAGAACCTGAAGTTAAGACTGTCCTATAGTGCTGAAAAGAAAGAGAAGTTCCAGATAAAAAAAACGTATCAAGTAAATCGGGTTAAGCAGCAGCTGGAAAGAAAAGGACTGCGAATTGGCAAATTTCAGTCCAAAGTAAAGACACTGCAGGACAAAATTGCTTCGTTGTCCAACTCTCTAAAAAGGGCACATCTTAAGTGCAGCATACTTTCAAAACAAAAGAAAAAGTGCCACAGCCAGCTAAATGCTCTACAGTTGAAAGTAACTGAGCTGGAAAAGAAGTTAATTTCTAACGATGCTGCCTTGCTACATGACATACCACATGTTGAAAATTATGATGCTCAAACTATTGTCACCAAAGTCAATAAAAAGCAATTCAATTCTTCAATCAGAATGGTAATTTACCGCTGCCTTGAACTAAATGTGCCTGTTGAGGCGATATCAAAGGTAATTGCGTTCTGCACTGATCTCTGCAATGCACAAGTTGACCTGCCATCAGTGTCTACAATTGCACAGATGTGTCGTGAAATGGCAGTTTTGGCTGAGCTTCAAGTTTCTGAGGCCATTGTTGATTCGGATGTTGTAACCATAGCGTTTGATGCAACAACTATATCCGGTAAACACATAAATGAAGTTCATTTTGGAACGCCTGAAAATGTTTTCACCGCAAACATTACGGAACTGGCAGGAGGCAGAGCTGAGGACTATGCTGGTCATGTACTTAACACAATTGAGGACTTGGCAACAACGTACTCTTCCTTTTGTGAAGTTGATAAGGAGGAAACAAAACTTCAAATGTGTGGAAAGGTTTCATCCACGTTGACAGATAGGGCCTCAGCCAACCACGCTGCAGTACTACTGCTGAATGAAAAACTTCAGACAAACTTACTTGAACTGAATTGTCACTTACACCCTCTTGATGGCATAGCCAATGAAGTAAGGAAGACTTTTCAAAAATTTAATTCCCTTATTCCCAGTGACACATTTGGTTCAGACTGTCGAGCTGCTAACTTGCTGTATGGAATATCTAAGCTGAGGTAAGTTTTTTTCCATCGCTGTTGTTTGATTTTTATTTTGCATTGGTATGACTTTTCAATAGCTCTTGTCTTTCCTATTAGGTACAAAGCAAAGGGAGATCCTACAGGATTCAAGGCTTTTCTCAGGCAGCATTCCTTGGCATGTGGTATTTTCCCTAGATATGTTGGTAATAGGTTGCACGTGATGTTCTGCCTGGCTGGTATTGTATACAGACACAGGCATCTTCTGGTGCTATATTTAGAAAAATATTGCAGCAACATATCATTAAGAGCTGCACTACTAAAGGACTTAAAAAATGACATTATTATTTCCCAGTTGCAGGCACTTGGACTTTGGGGGAAATACCTAACCGGGGCTTGGATGTCAGTCTTCTATGCCAAAGAATCAAAACGGAATCATTTTGACATGGTAATAATTTTGAGTTTTTAAAAATAAATACTGGTGACTTCTTGTAATGAGTTATACTTTGTTCAAATGTATATTTTTTCTTTCAGGTTGAATATCAAAAGGTGGCGATGAAATTCATTGCTAGAGTAATTGCTGAGCCAGAATACCTTTTGATTGGATGTGAGGATGCCTTTGGACGCCCCTTAATTGCGGATGAAACTTTGTCATCTCTGCTGATTGTAGATGACACCAACCTCGAAGCCTTTAGTACTGCCACTAAAGCCATGGCCACAGCCACCCAAACTGTCCTCAGCCGTCAGCTTTCCCGCTACCTGGAGGGTGATTTAGCTGCACCTACTGAGGCCATGTTAGCTGCAGCAGCCAGTGCCCCCGTACACAACATCTGGGCTGAGAGGGCCCTTGGTGTTGTTGATTCATTGTCGCGCAGGGCCCCAAATTCAGAGATAACTTTTTTAGATGCAAAAACTAAAGTAAAGCTGAACAAATCGTTGGACTGGCTGTCATCCAAGCCTGCAGCAGTTCAACAACAAATAATCCAATTTTGTATTAAGAGGGGTGCAGTTTGTAGAAAGTTAGGAAAGGATAGGAGGATAGAGAAAGAAAGGGAGCTGCAGCGACGGCTGATGGAAAAAAGCCAGAAAAGAGACATGGGAAACCGAAACAAAATTGCTAAAGCTATTAAACAGCTATTGATCGAGAAGGAGCTTTTCACTGTTATTAATGACCCTGTATTTGCCAATGTTAGTAGTTTTCAAAGAAAAAAATTGTCAATTTTTTTGTCAGATAGGGTAGAGGGGGCGAGGATTGAGCATAAGTGGAATGTGAATGGAGAGGATGTTATTTTTAGTGGTAGGTTTATTTTAAAGTTAAAGAAAAAATCAGCTGTAGATTCATTTAGAGTAGCTTATTGGAAAGAAAATGAAACAGAGGATGATGCTGAAGATGTGTGCGTCTCGTTTGACAGTATTTTAGCTGATGTTGTTTTAGGTGACTTGTTATTTTGCTAGTCTTGTAATTACTATGTAATTATATTATTTATATTAAATTTAATTTTTATCAACAGTGTTTACCTGTCTGGTATTTTATTTACACCAATTCCATTTAACTAGTATTTTATTTGTGTAATCTGGATTTTTTGTGTGATAAAAGAACCTTTGCGCTGGGGTGGGGGATTTAGATTAAATTGTATATTAAGCTCAAAGGTGTGAGGTTCCATACTATTACACCTAGCAGATGTTAGAATTTGGACATGATAATAATATAATATTTAGAACCACCATATACTTTAAAAAAAAAAAAAAAATTTTTTTTTAGAATTAGGGGGTGGTATCCCCTCTAGACACATATTTCATCACACCCTTTACATTTTAAAAAAATGTTAGGTTTAAGTACTTCAAAACACATTTATCTTGAAACTCTGAAAATTTGAATACAAAATTCCATGTAATAAAGATTTGGCATTGATTTATACACATTACACACAAAATTTGCCCGCAAAAATTACCGTTAAATCCTATAGTAACTTTTTATTCAGTAAAAAAATCATAACTTTTGAATGGAATGTCCTATTTTGAAAAAGTAAACTGTTTTGTCTTAATTGTATGTAGTTCTATGTGATGATATGTTTTTTTACTTAAATAAATCATTTTGAAATTTATCTCAAAGTCCCTACTGTTGGGGATGAGTAACTGTGTACCGAAGTTGTAGTTAAACAGCAAAAGAAAAAGGACCCAGGGCTGTGCTGGTTAAACTTCATTATTTTTCATAACGCTTATAAACACTAGTTATATTATCATTATTATGATTGGGTTATTGTTTTGCCATCTGTTAAAATCAAACTCTACATTAAAGTAACTTTGTAGTTTTGTGGTACAATAACTTACATTTTTGCATTTCCTGGTCAGTCTTACATAGCTTATTTCATAAAAATTTCATATCATATTATTGGCTACCATGATCTTTCTTACTTTATAATACCACACCCCTCCCCCACACCTTCATTGATTGACAAAGCAGGCTGAGATTATTATAGTGAACATTTCTACACAAGGCCTTTCTTCAGCTCACAACAGTGTGGTTAAAAACTAAACTAATAAAATAACAGTGAGGCAATTTTGGATATTTTAAAATGCAGCAATATCCGTATCCAAGTAAAGAGATGCATACCAGAGAAGGCTAGCAGTAGCAGAACAGTCATGGTGTTCAGTGGGGGAGGTGGGGGCAGAGTTTCTTCCAGGCATATCTTCGGGGGGACGAAGCCCCCCGAAAAATTTTTACCGCCCCCCCCCCCCCGAACGAAATGAAATTTATATTATTTATATAGAAAATATATACTTTTAACAGTGTCCCCCCCCCCCCCCCCCCGAAGAAAGTTTACCCCCCCCCCCCCCGAAGATTTCAAGTGCCCCCCTCGGAGAAAAAAGTCTGGAAGAAACACTGGGCGGGGTTAGATGAATGATATCGAGTGAGTGCAAAAGCTTTGTATGTGTTCAGCTGGGCTATAAAATACAGCAGTATCAGACAGCAGTCACAAAAGTTTATATATTATATTAGGCCTATTAAATTTATTAATATCGTTTAGTATTTTTTCAAGTGAATTTGGTGGGGTGGATCATTATAAATTACTCATAGGCTGATTGGATATGAACAGATAACCTACGTAGTGTAGCCTGAGGTTGAAGTCATAAAATGATAAAATATGCAAGCTTTTTTTTTTAAATTTTTTTCTTACTTTTGCTATTGGAGGGAATTTCCTCCAAAATCTATATATAATTCTGTGTGTCGACCAACCATGCGGGACACCACGCACGCACACCAACTCTCAAACCCACCTTTCCCCCACCCACCCCTCCCTCACTCTCCAGGCATGCACAACAGTGTGTACCCACCCACCTTACTTGGACAACTGTGTCTTTCAGGAAGTCTTCACCTGTCACTAAATAGCGGCATATGCTACGCCGTGGGTAGGCTTGTAGTAAATATTATGTGCCAACGTGTTGTGTGATATATAATATCCTGTTGACTCAAACTAACTTGTCTTTCTGGATGTGCTTCCATTGTCTTTGTTTACCCAAGAATACGTTCAAGGCATGAGTTGTTTCTTCTTCTTCATTCTAAATTCTAGTTGTGGAAGTGATTACCTCCAACACAATTAATTATTACAAGTCAACTTGTTATTTTCTATATAGGCACTTGACTCTGATTTCAGCCTACTTTTCTTTTTGGATTTGCTTCCATAGCCTGTGTTCAAACAAGATTAAACTACAAGGCAGCAGTTGTTTGTTATTGAAGTTATCTCTCCTAGATGAGTAGCAGTCCCCAGCTATTGAACCTCATCTGCCGGTGGGGGGTTTGAACTCTAGACTTTTTAGGTTAGCAACCATGCGCTTACCTTACCATACCAAATCAGTTGTTAGATCAAGGGAAATAGTGTAAAATAATTATGGGCTTTGGGTTTACAAAAGTTGGGTCATTTGCAAAAACCTATTAATAGATTTCTTGACTAAAAATAAACATCACTTCTACCATTCACATTTTTGACAGGTTTTTACTCTGTTGAGAATATTTAATATTGATACCTATTTTAATTTTCTTTTAAATTTTAATCAAAGGGTGTACATATGAGACATATGTTATTTATAGAATTAATTAAAAGGCACAACTGTAAGTAGTGTAAGCTCCCATCTCTTGGCCCTAAATAGGAAAGCTGTATGATTTGCCTAAACAGTAAGCTTCTCTTTAATTCTCCTTTTATAGATCACTTAATATGGAAACACAAGACTAATGGGGCAAACCTATTTTTACAACCACACACATATGTATACACACACATAGATAGATATTGATATATGTACATACATATATAATTTAAAGTAGTGTGTCATTACATCCTTTACGTCATTGGAAAAGCAACTTTGTCTTCATCAAGATTCTAAGCTGGAGAATGTGGTCATGCATGGAAAGGGTGACAGGTTCTCCTTGGGTGTGTATGCCTGGGGTAACATGATCGCTGGCAGTGCACAATACACCACGGAGAAGTGGGGGGGGGGGTCTGGGCGGACATACTGTAGACCATTGTGCCAATTTGGTTACCATAGCATAGCACATGTATAAGCTATTATATATATATATATATATACATATACATACACACACCTTTGCATAAATACATACATGTAAAATCAGCAAGGCCTGAAATTGGCAGTATGAAATAAATGACTAGTTTTACATTGCCTATTCAGGCCATTTTATTGAATGCACAGCAAGGAAACTGGCAGTACAGTATTCTAATCAGATGAAAAAAAATAATATTCATAATTCTTATCCTCCGGTGTGTGATATATTAAGGTACTTGTGTTCTCTATGTATGATAATGAAATAAGATGCTGTAAAATGCAATGCTGTAATTTATTTAAGATTTTGTTACAAATCTTACACTAATGAATATAATCAGGATGGTTTTCAATTACCCAACACTGCTGTCCAGCTCAACAAGTAGGCCTAAATGAGCATTAGCATTTTTGGCTATAGCAATGTTTCTAAAGGCGTCATCATAAAATTCATAAATATATATACACTAGAAAAATGGCCCGTTGAGGAAGGGTACAACGGGCGCTAGGCTGATAGTGCTGTCTCTTTTCTCTAAACTAAAACCAACCCACCCCCCCCCCCACACCCCCCCCCCCCCAAAAAAAAAAACATGTCTACAGTCCCATTCAACGAAATATAATTATATACTTTTTCCAGTGTCCGCCCCCTCCCAGAAAATTCTACACCCGCCCCCGAAAATTTCAAGTACCCCCCACCCCTCTCCGGGGAGGAAAAAGTCTAAATTAAACCCCCCACACACACCACCCCCCACCCCCCTAAAAAAAAACATGTCTACCGTCCCATTCAACAAAATATAATTATATACTTTTTCCAGTGTCCGCCCCCTCCCCGAAAATTCTACACCCGCCCCCGAAAATTTCAAGTACCCCCACACCTCTCCGGGGAGGAAAAAGTCTAAATTAAAACCACCCCCCACCCCCCCCCCCCCCCACCCACCCCCAACTCTAAAAAAACATGTCTACCGTCCCATTCAACGAAATATAATTATATACTTTTTCCAGTGTCCGCCCCCTCCCCGAAAATTCTACACCCGCCCCCGAAAATTTCAAGTTCCCCCACCCCTCTCCGGGGAGGAAAACGTCTGAAAGAAACACTGGTGTCGCGCTTAGCCACTACCCGAAGAATTGCATTAAAGAAATTGCAAGAAAACCACTTTTTAGATTAGACACATTAATTAGGCGGTAATTTATTATAGAGTATCGATGAAGAAATTTCTTTTGAGTTGGGGAGGGGGGGGGGCTCAGACGTTCTTACGCGGGGGTGGGGCTTCGCCCCTACCCGAAGAATTGTATGCAAGAAACTCTTCACGCAAACCATTTAGATTAGACAAAATTTCCTTTTTAATTCAATGTTTACTCGAGAATCAATGACGTCATATTACTGTGTGCACACTGTGTGCTTGAGATTATTTTCTACTCTATGCTAAATGTGACCGCGTCATACTTCGTTTTTCGAATTACTGTGCATGTTTTTATTTTGCTTGTGTTTTCTCTAGAGCGTTCTTGTCAGATAGAATTTTTGCTTATGTTTTCTCTAGAGCGTTCTTGTCAGACAGAGCGTTCTTGTCAGATAGACAGACAGCGAAACTATTAGTATTAATTTTTTTTTAAAAGACAGTTGTCAACATAACTCATGTTTTGAACAATGACCTAAACTTAAGTATTAACTAAACCAACGTCTTGCCACCCACCTAATAATTATAGTTAGAAGACGATCTGGGTATAGTCTGGTCGCCAACAGCTAGTTGAGGCGTTTTAATTTGTGGTTGTAGAACTTGAAGCTTATGTTTAAATATTTCATTCATCAATTATTGTTGTTAAGCTTGATGAAAACATTTATGTCATCCTTTATTTTACATCAAGAAAGAAAGTATCCCTACCTACTCTCTTCTGTTGTTATAATGTTATTCACAAATCAAATTTTTCTTAATACCATAATTGATTATAATATTCCTTTAGCGCTGTAATTTTTATCTACAATCTCAGTCCTTGATATGATCAGTTAAGTGGTAAACAGTATGTACACAATTTAGTTAAATTTACTTCAATAATTAGTTGAAAACCTGGAGTAAAACAAAGATTCCATTTACTACCGGTATTCAATATAATATTAAAGGATTACTTAGCAGACTCCCTAGTATAAAAATACAAATCCAGAACAATTAACAAATAGACCAATCAAAATAACTTTCTGGAAGTGGTATTACCAGTGTTGAAGGCAAGGGATGTCTCATGTTAAATTACTGCTATTTGTGATAGTGTATTTGCGTCTTCTTTGCTTGGTGTTTGAAAATTGAAAATGTCATGTAACCACTGTTTTATAATCTTAAAATAAGTACTGAATTTATATAAAGATACAATACATATTGGGGAAAGTTTTAATTCTCCTGCACAGGCTTCACCCATCAGATAAAATCCTGCCTACTCCAATATGATCAACATTTTTAGAGCATTGATAAAAAAACATGACTGTGTGTTGCTTAAACCGTCTATAGTCAGTGAGGTTTCACATTTTGTATTTGAATTGGTAAATTATTTAATAATATTGAACTTTTCTTTAAGCATTTAGCCCTGGTGAGACCTTGTTAATGTAGGGAAGTCGAGTGAGGGATGAGATTAAATTAGTCTAGTTATACCAGGCCTAATACTTAAAGTGTAAAAAACAACACAACAAATGTTCAGTTTTAAACTCAGCATCAGCGAGGAATTAGTGATGACCGTTCTACTGCAATCTTTGGTAACAGTTTTAATTTAATTTGATAAACAATTTGACTCCAGTGCTCCATATTACTATGCAATGCAGGCTTCTAAAATAAATTGCACTGTATTAGCTAAAACGCTTGATAGGAGAGCCTCCTATATTAACTTCCATGTCAACACGTGCACACACAAACATCCTATTGTCATTCAGCTAAGTAACATTTACGGTAACAAAATATAAATGCGTATCTTAAAGCTTATGATTGTTTGCATTAGAGTATACATTTTTAAATTGGAAAACAGATAATATATACTTTATATACACACAACACAATTTTTTAATTTAGCAGAAATGATCTGTTAATTAAAAGAGTTATCAGGTATGGATTAAGAAGTTCCAGAACAGTTCTAGTTAAAATAGAGCTTGAAAAATCTGAATCCTCGACATGCCCAAAATTTTATATTTGTTTTAATATGGCGAAGGAGAAATGTTTAGTATTTGTTTTATTTGTCACTGGTTTTGCTTACTTACAAGATTTAATATTTACCTTTTATAAATGATGCTGTACTTATTTTAACCTTAACCAATAAAATCTAATTCTGAGCTAGATAGATAGTGTTTTGAAAAAGCACATACCCAGTTGTGTGTATGGTATCTTAGTTAAAAGCTCTAAAGGGAAATGGTTTAGTTATGAAATGAAGTGTTACTTCCCTTGAAGACAAAATATTAGATGATAAATTTTACTAGTTCGATATCCATTGGTTCTAAATTAATTCCAGGCCTCTTTATTCGGTAAAATCTAATCTATATAGACTATTCAAATACAATAAACTACATTCAACACAAGAAAACAGAGGTTGTCAAGTGAATTATATGCCTCATTATTTGTTTAAGCTTAAGCTATTTGTATTTCACTTCATGATGGAAAGGGGTGGAAGGATTGTGACAATTAAGTATTTTAATGTTTAAAGAGTTCTATACCCTACATGATACACATGAGAGGGCCTAATAATTAACAAGTAATGTATGCTTGAGTAGATATGCATTTATAGTCTGCTATTACTTATGGACACCAGTAGGACCTTTTCCATAATTTTTTTCCCAGGGGTTGTGGCTCAACTCAAAATGCAGTGTATTTTTAAGCTTGTTTTCTGTCTCTTCAATTTTTATATTTTTATTTTAGATGCAAGAAATGGACCAGTTAATTAGTGACACCAGCCCATTACAGTTTTACAGCAGTTGGTGACTCTGATGAAGGCATCATGGATGTTCTGGAGCTAAATGGTCAGCAAGAACAAGCTTTTGGAAAGCATGAAAGTAGCACTGCCAAAAGGAAGACATTGACCAAGCCCAATGGCCCACAGTTTACAATTCCTAGGCTAAAGAAAATTAAGCGAGGTTGGTACGCTGTTATTTTCTTGGGATGCAAATGCTTAATTTGAAAGCTATGCTCACTTGTTGAATAAACTTTTTAAAGTGTTACGCTATCTTCCAAAGTTTCTTATATAAAATTCTAGTTTATTAACTCGTGAACCTTGTTTTCAGATCTCCTGACTGATTTAACCCTTGATTCCCATGAATGTCAGCAGGAAATTTTATCTCAAATTAGAAAAAGTTTCCATTTTCCTTTTTCTAATACTTCTCACAAGTTCACCAGAGTGCAGTCAGTCTACAATCCTGATTTGGTTTCCAAGGTGAGCTTGTTTAAAAAAATTAGTGGATCTTTTTGTTCTTTTATCAGATGTTTTTATATTAGCCAGCGCAATGTTTCTGGCTATCTAACCTGTTTCCAATTTTTATTTTTTATTCACAATGAATGTTCCATTTTAAGAAATTTAATAGCAATTTTTTAATAACCCATCTAACTTCCAACTTTTTTTTTTATAATTTTTTTCCCTTTGAAAAAAATGTGAAGAAAAAACTCAAAAAATTTTTTTTCAAGTTTTTAACATAATTACTCAAAGTTTTTCTCCTGAAAAAAAATGTGGTGTAGATACTCTGATTGTTGTCAGAAACTTGACAACATTCAATTTCCAACAAATTTCCTTTTTTGTTTAAAAAGGTGGTCAGTTAACCTCTGTTCAACCAGACAGATCCCATTAAGATTGTGAAACAATTATTTTATTTGAATGCTTGTTGAATATTTGAATTTTTAGTTGTGTGCCTATTCCTAACATGTCTTAAATGTCTAATTAAAATGTTTTATCTTCACTCTTAGTATTTAGAAAGACGAAAAGAACTGAAAAGTAGTGGCTACTCCGATGCATTGTTGGCAGACAGTTTTGCTTTTATACCAGTGGACAACCCTTCTACTGTGAGTTTTAAACTTCAAATTTAATCACTCTAAGACTTGATTTAGAAAACATTTTGCGATTTACTTTACTTATATGTAGGATAAAGTCTAATTCCCTTCAGTTATCTTGTTCTGTAGTCATTGTATGAAAAGGGTTTTTGTGGTCAGTTTAAATATGATAAAGGAGTATAGTCTATATAAAATCTCAGTATTATTTGTGCAGCACATTGAGTGAACACAAATATAATTTCAGGTTGAGAAGATGTGTCGTACTGGTGTCAAGTGTGGTAACCAACAGTTCTCAGGTCTAGGAGTATCACATTTAGGTAGGTCTATCTGTGTCACATTTAGGTAGGTCTATCTGTATCACATTTAGGTAGGTCTATCTGTATCACATTTAGGTAGGTCTATCCATGTCACATTTAGGTAGGTCTATCTGTATCACATTTAGGTAGGTATATCTGTATCACATTTAGGTAGGTCTATCTGTATCACATTTAGGTAGGTATATCTGTATCACATTTAGGTAGGTCTATCTGTATCACATTTAGGTAGGTCTATCTGTATCACATTTAGATAGGTTTATCTTTATTAGAATAACAAATTTTTAGTAATTTCTTCCTTAATTAGAGTTTCAAAGAGTATTATTGACAGCTCCCTGAAATGAATACAGCCAATGATGTTTAGACTTGTTTAATATTTGATTAGTCCAATGTGCTTGCATATCTTAATAGTTGTGAGTTAGAATGGTATATAGGTGTATAGTTCTGTTTACTTTCTGGATATCATTTCCATGCCATGTTTACAATAAGTTTAGGTCTTGCCATCGAATCAACCAGCAGCTATCTCCAATCCTTCTGTTGTTAAATTGTATTGATGTTGCAATTAGACTATTGAAAATTACAAAAAAAAATTAGCATAATTTTTATAAATTAGCATTACACCACAAAACTATATTTCACCGTATAAATTTATGAACATTTTTTTTTAGCTGTGCATGTCTGTAAACACGCTGATATTGTGACACCCATGAGACCTAAATATGGGGAGAAAATTCTTCTTCTTGTCAAAATTTACAAGGTAAGACACAGCAGTTTTTGTTGTGATGGCAACTATTATAATGTGTTGTATTCAAATAATATACTATTGCATTGCTAAGCTGAGATTTAATAATAAATAATGTGGTATTTAAATCTCAGTTTGTTATCACATTACTAAACTCTAATTTTATATGATTTGTTGTAGACAAATGTATAGATACATTTGTTTGTTTCAGGGTAAAGTCAAATCAGTGATGTGCAAAAATGTGGGGGCCCAACTAGAGCCAACACCTAACTATGACTGTCATATTGCCAAGCCCACTGTTGACCAGCCTGCTAGCCTCCCCCCACACATGCTCCTGTACTCCACACAGGTCAGTCTCATAGGGTCATTCTGGTGGAGTTTTACTTTACATTGATAAACACATTCACTGGTGTTGTGTGGAGTATTCTATAGTAAATCTCACAGATCAATTTAAACTAATTTTATGTTTATTATATTTTTATAAATAAATATTGTGTATGATGTACACATACTTTCTATACTCTGAATATATTGGCATTCTGTTGACAGCTGTACTTGTATGAGTACGGAGAGTTTGAAATTGAAGAGTTCCCTAGACAGATTCTACCCTATGCTGTTGTGTACTATACATTCACAGAACCACAGATTGTCCTTCCTAAAGCTGTAGTCAGGTAAACAAACCAAACTCTTGAAAACCCTTAACTTTGCTGTTGTAATATATTGTTGTCTCCCTTTTATGTACTGGACCTGGATATTTTTTCTTTTGGTGTTGCAAAAACAATTTTTAGTCAGAAATGTTTTGCTTTGCATAGACTTCTGCGTATAGCCCTTAGAATTTTCTGCATGTGTTTTTAGTATACCAGTGCAGGCTCAAACAGTGTCGTCAACCACAGCAATAACAGCCCCAACCCAGCCTGCAACTCCCAGTCAAGATCTAGGACCAAGCAACGAGGTGTGGCGGGGTAGGCTGCATGTGCGTCTGGCCTCGGGTGGACAGATTTACATTGATGTGTCCATGCTCTCATACTTTGTGCCACTCACGGTCAGCTTGTAAGTTGGATAGAACACTTGTAGAATTATATTCTTTTGAAGTGTTGAAACTTAACTGTATAGTTGTTAACATTTTATTATATTTAGATGAACACGTTTGTTCCGTGTACAGACTAAATAAACTTGTTTCTCTTTAAGTTCAAAGAAACTTGATAACACCGCATGCTAACATTATTAGTATTGAAACTTAACTGTACAGTTGTTAAAATTTTATTATATTTAGATGACGACATTGCCTCAAAAAACCAAATAAAACTGTTTCTCTTTTAGTTGAAAGAAACTTGATAACACCCCATGCTAACAACTTGTACTCCCTATCTTATGATGAATTGTGTTTCAGGATCTCCCCTATCATGATCAACTGCTTGTACCCTGAGCACAACGCCCAGTTCACATTTTTCTCTGGCCTCTCCAACATTGCCAACAAGATGGAGGTTGAATGGAGGGCCCACTACTTTAAATCTTTCACCATGCGACCCAGGACCAACAATGAGGAGCATTTTAAAGCCTTGATAAAACACATCAGTGCAAAGAGAGAGGTTGGTTTTTTTTTGCTATAATCTCTATACATGACTGTACCATAGATCTGCTTGTGTAATGGCAGAAAATAGATTCAGTTGCTCACACCTCTTTTAGGTGCATTTTTAAAAGCACTGGTCTAAGGAAACATTAGCTTTATTGATTGAAAATTTGGAAGATAATTTTTAAAATTTGAAGTAATGGAAAATTACATTACCCTTCAACTCTATTAACTGAGAAAGTAAGCTACTAGAAGTTTTTTAATGCAGCATATACTCTTGTTGTATTATCGTGCATCTGGGAAGCTTCTAATCATTACCAAACCTGTTATTTGGATCAAGTTTATAATCAGATGTCTAGAAATGTGCATGAGATTCAAATCAAAACACTATTTTATATATGTTTATATTTTCAGATGCCAACTGTCAAGCTGTCCAATGATGTTTTCTTGTTTCTTATGCCAAACTGCCTGCTAGCCTCTCAATTGGGTAAGCTTCTCTTTCAGATAATGGTTAAATTTCTAGCTAAAAATTGTTAGTTTTGTTTTCTTATCTTTGTATGTCTAACATTTGGTAACATTTGGTCTGCAGTGTTTATATAATGGTTTAACTGTTTAGAATAGTGTGAGATTTTAAAATGTCTATCAGATTTAGTTAGACGTCAACTCTAATTTACATTGTAACCAAGCTCATTTATAAAAAAACATTTGATCAGGTTTAGTTAGAAGAGAAGATAACTCTCCAGTTTTACATTGTGTGCTCATGTCTAACTACTCAACAACACAAGCTCAGAAAAGTAAGTTGATTAATCACAATGTTTAATATTTTATTTTTAAATATATCAATGTTTTTAAATATATCTATGTACATTAAAAAATGAAAACAAAAAGCTATATGAAGGAAAACTTTCATAGTTTATTGTTTGAGTCTAGTTGAATGATTTATAAATAGCCCACCATAACTTTCAGTCAACAGATAAGTAAATGATTAAAAAATTCAACATTGTTGCTGGAACCCCTATCTTATTCCATACCACTATATTATTTACATTATAACTGAAATCAAATTCATTTTCTGAGGTATTTTAATTAATTACTTTTAAAAATTTAACCCCTATTGATAAAACAATAAGAAAAACGTAAATACACTTTTTTTTTAATTTTGTGCTATCGTCATTCTGGTTATTGGTATGATTTCTTTTTTATTTGACCAATTATATTGCCAGTAATGCTAAACAAAAAAATATTAACTCAAATACCAGTAGAAAATTAATTGCTAGTGTTATGAGAAAACAGAATAAATAAATCATTATTTTCCACTTTCACAATCATCTTGCAATTAAAAAAATGTTCAGTACACACTTTGTATGTTTATTTTAAAAACTAGTTCAAATTTCTTCTGTTTTCTTTCATGCAGAGAAGCTAGTAGAAAAAAAATGTCTTTTCAAAAACTACGGCGGCGCAACCAACTGGGAGAGCCTGTTTGACGATTCTGACTTTTCAGATGAAGAGGATCAAGTGGTGAGCCTGGCAAAAAACATCGGCTCAATATTCCGTGATCAGAGAACTATCCAGAACAAGTTTTCTGCCATGTCGTTGGCGGAGGCTGACATGAACTTCTCCCATTGTTCCTGTAGGAAGCTATCCACATCCAAATCCCATCAACAGCGTCGCCGTGACGACGATGTCAACAGAATATGGAATGCTGTGCACACGGCTACCATGACCAGCAAAAAAGCCAGTGTGTCACATTTTCCCCCCAGCTCAGATCACAAGCCAAAACAGAAAGTGTCCAAACACATCCGGGCCATGCCTTCGTTCAGCCCCCATGGCTCTTCGGATTCTGACTCGGATCACGGCAAAGGCAAATCTGGCAGGTTTTCCATTTTGGACAGCACGAAAACTGTTGAGGAAGAACTGAGCGAGGAAGAGTTAACGAAAGAGCAGATGGATGACATCATCTTCTTAAGGAAACCTGCCCTCACTTCAGTCGCCTCGTTGAAGTCTTCAGCTCCGTCTCACAGACACAAACCAGGCAGATCATCAGCGCCGTTACTGAAGAGCTCTCATTCTCTCCCTGAGCTCAGGAAATCTCACCAGGAACCTCTGCTGAATTCCAAACCTAAAATAATTCCTACAGAGCCATTGGAACCTCCCTTAAAATCTATTCTGAAATCAAAAACTAAACCCAAAATAATTCCCATGGAACCTAAGATAATTCCTGTTGAACCTAAAATTATTCCAGTGGAACCTACAGAGGAACCCAAAACAGTCCCTGTTGAACCTAAATCACGTCACAAGGAATCGAAGCAAATTTCAGTGGAGCCTAAAATAATTCATAAAGAACCTAAAATTCCAGTGGAACCTAAAATACTTCCCAAGGAACCTAAAATTATTTCCAAGGAACCTAAAATTCTTCACAAGGAACCTAAAATACTTCACAAGGAACCTAAAATTCTTTCCAAGGAACCTAAAATACTTCCCAAGGAACCTAAAATACTTTCCAAGGAACCTTTCACTTCATTAAAACCAAACTCTAGTCCTGAGGAGCCTGATGTCATTCCCCTCCCCCCTCAAGTACAACCTAAAATAATACCTACAGAACCTGTCCCTGCTACAGTCAAACCCCTTCATTCTATCCTTAAAAAAAGCAAACCCTTACCAGTGGTCCCAGTTATATGTGAACCTGCAGGGGTCCCAAAGACATGTGAATCTGCAGGGGTCGCAGTGACATGTGAACCTGCAGGGATCCACCCAGTGATGCCTGAACCTGTTCCGCCTCCACCACTCACCGAAGACTTTGGTGACGTGGATATGAGAATCTCCAGCAATCTCCCAGTCACCCTGCATCCGGTGTTTCTATCAGCTAAACACCCATCAACGCTGCAGCCCTTGTCTCCTGAGCCACCGAAACAGCTCTCTCCGAATTTCTCCTACGGCTCCTGGCTCGCTCCCCCTGACGCACAGACTTGTGTTTCTTCAGTGTTACAGACACCATCGCCTTCTACCCCCATGTCACCTCCAAGTGAATCCCCTCCCTCCCCACCAATAGATTCCCCTTCATCCCCACCATCCACACCTGGACTGGACCTAGAATCCCCAGCCTCCCCTCCGCAGACAGTGTACGACCAGTTCAGGTCATCCCCCATAGCCATTCCAACATCACGTATTCACCACAATGAATCGCCAGAGGTCAGGTTCATGTACACAGCCCATCTAAGTCGGAACATTTCTAGAGAAGGTATTGATAACGCTGATGAGATGAAAGATTTCCTCAACTCTGGTTTTGATTCTGACTTGGATAGTTCTTACGAGGATGAAAGATAGCGGACAATTCAACAAAATGTGTGGGGGAAAAAATGTCAGTGACCAATGTAAAGTGAGATGTGATTCTGTTGGGAGTGAATGAATGTGCTGAGGTTGGGGTAGTTTTATATTCTTTCAGGCTGAAAGATTCTAATCATAGGTTCCTTGCTCTGGCCTATCCATGACTAAAAAAGATTGTATGATTCCTATAAAAATTTTAGCAGGGCAATAGGTATCACAGTATATTAAAGTTTTGCTACTGTCAGGTTATGTTTGCGACAAGGTTTTGGATGAGGGTAGAGACACTAGCTAACCTTGCTTTGATACAACCTGCAATAGTTTCTATCAAAGCAATGTTGTTTCATGTTGTTATGAATTGGGCATTTATTCACTTATAGGAGTCAGATACATGCAGTGGTTATTACTTTAAGGATACGGTACCTACAGTTAACCCTGTACAAATATGGAGGTCTGACACTTGAAATAAATGAGGGTTGTGATGCTCTGGCCAGCTGAGAACTTAACACCCCTTTAGAGCTACAAAGTTCTAATTGCCTTAATAATGCATTGTTTGAAACCTTGTAGTTCTTGGGGGATGAACAGGCTTGATTAACTCAAAATGAAAAAAAATGCCTCTAATCTCTACCTCATTTTTTTGTCATAAAGCAAATATATTTGATTTTACATGATAGGTGTGGGCTCCTATATTATATTTGACTCTACATGATAAGGGTGGGCTCCAATATTTGACTCTACATGATAGGTGTGGGCTCCAATATTTGACTCTACATGATAGTTGTGAGCTCCTAATTAAATTTTGATAGCACTGAGGTTTTTAATTGGATGGATTTACATTTCTTTGCTGTTTTGTTTTACTAGTTCTTTGTATGAAATTATTAGAATTTTAATAAATTTGACAAGCTGTTTTGTAAAGGCTAGTGATAAGGGATGGAGCTATATAGGTCCCAGGTATACAAATTTAAATATATTTGACTTGATACTCTCTATAAATGACTCTAAGAACTGTGGTGTGGAGGGTATTGAAGTGCTTTGTTTTGTTTTCATGCCAGTTAAGTTAGTAGTGAGAACTACTTGTGTTATTAGTGCTCTCTTCTAGCTTGGCAGTTTGTTATGTTATCTTCAAAATATTATGTCCATTTTATCTTTTGGGTAGGAATGAAATGAAAAAGACATTCAAATTCTTGAATTTAAAAATGTGCTAATCAAACAATTCAAATAAGATACATTTTAAAATACAATTAGAAGTTGCATTTATTTATATGTTTTTTAGACCTATGGCAATCACATCTGTGTACATCTCTTGAATGGAGCAGTGAATGAATTTTGTATAATACACATCTGGTAAAGATTTTAGCTTTTTATTATTGTCTTTCATTTGTGTAATCAAATTTTAGTCTGTGATTGCCATAAATATAAAAAAAAGAAATATCAAAATGTATGTTTTGTGAAGAAAGAGAAAAAAAATATTGCTTAACATCAAATTCATTGATGTTGGGCATGCTAAGTGATACATAATAATATAGTAATAATACACAAGTAAAATTGTTATAACCTCAGAGTTTTTTAAATTAAAAGAAATATGAACACATTCAGATATGTGCTGTACAACAAGTAAACAGAGCCCATTGGGGAAACTTGATCACATTAACTGACAATACTGACATTGTGTGTTAGTTTCTTCTTAACTGTAGTGGATTATCTCATCCCCTTAAGCTTTAATCATAGGATTTAAAGTTTATCATTAATTAATGATCAAGAGCATAATATTGTAATGAAGATAATGTGATGGCTACCTTTCAGTGAATGGGAGCATATTTGTCTACATTTTTATTCTATATCAGCCATGGCCAGGTTTGTTATGATACATGTAATGATGCCCAGCCTCTAGTGTAACACTAGATGTGGAGTGGCATCTATATTTATCTCTGTGAGAATGGACTACCAAGCCAGTTTGAGTATGAAATAAAGGGTGGTTTTAGCCAAAACTATATGACTTCTACTGAAGTTTGTCATTTTAAATTACTACATTTTACCAGAAGTCTACACACAAACCATGCATGTTTTGTCACTTAAGTTTCATCTGTAGTTCAAAGTACTAGACTTGTAATTCTTTGGCATTACTTACTTATTCAGGATTAGCTCAGTTATTTAGCTGGTTTACACTTATTTCAGTGGGAGTTGTGAAGATATGCAAAGAAATTAATGAATTAAATAACGTAGAGGGGTGAAAGTCATGATTGAACCACAGTAAAACCACAGCCTCCATCTAGACCCTGACAGTGACATCCAACTAGATCCATGAGTCTGACAGACCCTGACATACAACTAGATCCATAAGTCTGACATCCATACAAATGAGTCTGATATATTGTTATTGAAACATGTATCAGTAAATAATGTGTTGCTTTATCCTAGAGAAAATGTGAAACTTGGTTTCTTGTTAATAAAATTCCGCTATTCTTGTGTACTTAGTTTTTTTTTCTACCCTTATAAATTGCTTTAATGCTTCTTAGCAACTTGAAAACCTTCAGACCATATGTATGTCTTTTTATTTGTAAAATCATCATTCTATTCTAAAATGTATCTTCTATTTATCTGTAGGCCTATATAATATATAATGATGAAAAAAAAATACTTTTCAAATAAATTTTTCAAAATTCTTTGATAAAGAATGCAAAATGTAGATCTAGTAAGCTGTAACAATTACTATCCTGTGTCAGTCACTACCTTAACATTTGTTTAAAGTTTGACACATTTCAATCATAAATTGCATACTGACTGGTTAGTTTACTGTGATGGAAATGATTCAATAGTTCCACATAAAACACTTTGTAATTCATTTATTTAAAATAAAACTTTATCTTCTATGTGAGCCACTTGCACATTCACACTTAAGAAAATATACATACAGAGAAATGGGATTTTCTTAAAAATAATGTTAGTCCTCATATCTTTAAAACATGGCATTTAATTATTTGAAGTCCACCAGCACATAATGTAATGACCTTTTTATTTTTAACAAAAGGTCTACTGATGTTCTTTCATTTGCTTGTTATTTTCTTTCAACAAAATCATTTAATGTCACAGGTAAATTCATAAATTTTTGTTAATATAAATAATATTTAAAATATCAATATATTAAAAAAAAAACAATAGTGCATTATTTTTTATTGCACTTAAGTTGATGTTATTTTTAAGTTTAAACCACTAGAACTATCACACTGGCCCCTTATTTTACCTAAGCAATTGATTCATGATTTTAATTCATAATAATTTGAATATTCAGTCCTTTTTATAATGAAGTTTTGACTCATTAAATTCTTCACCATCTTGCTTCATATTTTCCATGAGCTATTTTTACACCATCGGGAATTCCCATCACCAACCATCAGGGAGTTGGCTGTGTAATGTTTTGGTGAATAGGTGTGGCTGTAGTGACCTCTATGCTGCCTATGTTTGTATCTGTTTCCTTTTTTAAATAAGAGAAAAACTGGTCAGAATCTGTAGCATTAGTTAGACTGTAGTTGTAAACAATTTGTAAACAAGTTTACCTCGTCATAAGCAAAACCATCTCCAGAAAGTTCAGTCGGTTCTGGAAAAAAAAAAAGTTATTTTTAAGACCATAAAACCAAGCCGAAAATATTGGTAGTGACCTTGTTTACAAGAACTTACTAGAGAAATTAGTGAACTATTGCTAAAAAGTATTATGTGCTAATGGTGGTAAACTTGTTAAACTTTTTAAAGTTATTAGAAAATAACTTTTCCATTATGTTAAGTATGTATAGTTAACACAACTCCACACTAAAGACCAATTACCTGGACAATTTGGAAGCTCCAAACATTTCTCTACCTGTCTTGCGTCTCCTGTAATAAGGTATCAAAACGATATTTTCAAAATTGAACCCGTGATTAGCGATGTTTTAGACTAAGTCAGCCTAACTGGCAGTTTAGTTAATTCGAACCCGAGATTTTCCGTGCTAAGGGAAACAACTCAATATTTTCGTCAAATTAAACGTAGCTTGGTTACATCCCTTAATGTAAAAATGGAATTAAAAATTGAAACAGAAAAATTTGAGTTGAGAATTAACATAAAATTCAAAGGGACTTTTTAAAGAGAGCTAACCTTGGCATTCCAAACCGTTATTCCTGGGCTGTGGGCATTCACATTTTCTGTATCTTGTTTTCACACTGTCAGTTTTACACGTTGATGAACAGGGTGTCCATTCAGACCAGGCACACCAGGAACCGTTTCCTTTAGATTACAAAATTAGTAGCATCAGGAGCTAAATTCTTTAGACAATTCAATGATAAAATTAGAAGCATCAGGAGCCTTTTTCTTTAGACAATTCAATGATAAAGTTAGAAGCATCAGGAGCCTTTTTCTTTAGACAATTCAATGATAAAGTTAGAAGCATCAGGAGCCTTTTTCTTTAGACAATTCAATGATAAAGTTAGAAGCATCAGGAGCCTTTTTCTTTAGACAATTCAATGATTAAGTTAGACGCATCAGGAGCCATTTTCTTTAGACAATTCAATGATAAAATTAGAAGCATCAGGAGCCAATTTTTTTAGACAATTCAATGATAAAGTTAGAAGCATCAGGAGCCTTTTTCTTTAGACAATTCAATGATAAAGTTAGAAGCATCAGGAGCCTTTTTCTTTAGACAATTCAATGATTAAGTTAGACGCATCAGGAGCCATTTTCTTTAGACAATTCAATGATAAAATTAGAAGCATCAGGAGCCAATTTTTTTAGACAATTCAATGATTAAGTTACAAGCATCAGAAGCCATTTTCTTTAGACAATTCAATGATAAAGTTAGAGCATCATGAGCCATTTTCTTTAGACAATTCAATAGATGCATGTAGCTGTGAACTGTAAGTTTAAATATAAAGAATATAAAACTATTTTAAGTTACAAATAGATTTAGACATGCCATTCTCTCTCTATTGTTGGGACAGTACAACCATATACAATTAACTCCTTCAGAACAACAGATACAATGTACTCACTGTGACAGTCGCCGGAGTCTTTGAAACACTGCGTCTTTTCATACTGCTCACCTACGCAATCTTTGCCCCCGTGGGCTGGGTGAGGGTTGGAGCAGGTTCGTAGCCGTGACTTGTAGCCCCGCCCACAGATGGGGGCCCAGCAGTTGCCAAACTTTGACCACTCGCTCCACCCCCCGTCAGCTGTGGGAGTTTAGTTAATTTTTTTTGTCCTATCACAAGATACTATAAAACGTCTTTTTAATGGTAGCTTAAAATTGTAAAGTGTGAAGCTGGTAGTAGTTTTCTATTAATTGATATGAGTTGCTAATTTCGGCATTAACGTCAATCTAACATTAAGCTTAACACCCTACAATGATGAAGTAGTGCTTCAAGGCGGGGGGGGGGAGAGGAAGTGGGGTCCGCACAAGGTGACACCAACTAGGAAAGTGGTTCAATTTACCGTTAAAACAATGTTTTATCGAGTTAAAATAATAAAATAATGAGCGAAATTTTTGGAAGGTGGAATGGGGTGTGGGGGGGGGGGGTGACACCCTCAGTTTTTGCACCGGGTGACACACGTCCTCGTGACGCCACTGTCTTGATGTATTACCACTACGTCCATTGTCAGTGTCAGAACATGTTTACAGATGGGTTGGTTGGAAACTACACTACAATATTACACAATGTAACGTATGGGCATTATGGGACGGCATGGTCGAATGGTAGAGCGTTTGGCTGCTAGCCCGAAGGTCTAGAGTACAGATCTCGGCTTGTACTGTAGGACATCCTAGTAAACCCAGCTCTGATTTAGGATGGGGAAAGTAAAGGTGGCTGGGCATAGTGCTTATCACACAATCCTTTGATATGCGGAGATAAAGGAACATGTAGGCTACTTCATCTGCTTAATGGATCGCTAGTTCTACATAGAAATCGTTTATTTTTACTTAACTTCATCATAAAAACTCAAACACACTACACCAGGTTTATAATCTAGATCTACATATTTTAAAATATAATATATTTTTTAAGTTAGTGTATTTTAGATCATTAGACCAGGCATTAGAGTTAAAAAAGAAATAGCCCCCTATATTATTTTGCAAGTTGCTTCAAATAATCTACAGGTCGAGACTAACTGGGACAGGGGTGGGCAGCGTAGCATTGCTGCTGATCCATCTCGGGGCCTGTACAGTCATTGCCCCCGTGTTGTGGTCTAGGGCTGTCGCACGTCCTCGTCCGTTCTTTGACGCCAGTTCCACACGTGGCAGAGCACCAGTTCCACGAGCCCCAGGATGACCAGCCTCCGTCCACTAAGCGGGTGGGGAATAATCAAAGATTAAAGATTATATTTAGGCCAAGAGTGGGATTATTGTAAGAGGTGTTAATAGTGTTGCAGCTAAATAAACTAAAGACTATTTATAGAAGTCAAGAAATAAACAGCCTAAATTTAGATATCTGTAGTTTCTACATAAATCCACTTTATTGAATTCTTTTATATTATAAACTCTTGAACCTAATGTGACTAGATTCAAATAAATGGTGTAGCATACAGACTCGATTCAGAGAAATGTTGTAGCCTACACCACAAAGGCCTATAAGCCCTATAAGGGGAGAGAACTTACCCGGACATTTAACGAGCTCGCATTTCTTGGTGTTTACTGGTGGTCCAATACAATCTTTGCCACCATTGAGCGGCTCGGGCGAGTCACATTTTCTCGTGCGTCTTGTGATGCCGCTACCACAAGTGGTGCTGCATGCTGAGAAGTCTGACCACTCACCCCAACTACCATCCACTGGATAAAACAGTTTTTGTTTTCTTTTTAAAGTCTCGCCTTTTAAACTAAGGTATTTAACTTAAATCCTGTTTCTGTAATCTCTATGCGGTTTTTTTTAACATCGCATGTTTTAAAAAGGGCTAAAATGTATTCCCATAGCTTTAGATATGATAATTAGGCCAATATTTTTAATAATCTTGTTTATTGTAAATTAAAGTTAGAATAGAAGTTATGGCTTATAGTTTATACGAAGTGGTTAGTGTTGTAGAGGGGTAGAACGCACGACTGCAAATAGCAAGTCTTGAGTTCTTATCCCGGACCATTTTCCATAGAGCTTCCTTGAGTCCACCCAGCTCTCGTGAGTACCTGACTCACGTTTGAAAAAGTAAAAATGACCACATTATCCCCTTTACAGTGGTCACAGAAACAGGTAAAAACTACTTCATCTGCCTTATTGACCGTCAGATCAGAAGGAGAAAATACCATGGTTTATACAGTATAAGCAAAAACATTCATATTTTAAAAACTTGAATGCTAGAATAATTGTGCAGAACCTGGACAAGCTTTGGTGTGACAGTGCTGTTCTGCTATCCCGTCCCCCTCACACGTCTTGCCACCGAACCCAGGTGGGGGGTAGTTACACCTCCGCTGCCTGATCCTGACCCCGGCATCACACGAGACAGAGCAGGATTCCCACGGAAACCAGGGACCCCAGTTGCCGTCAACTACAGGAATAGACACACAGATGATTATTTTTGTATGGCGTGCAAATGTAGTTCTGCGGAAACTAAGATTGATGGCTTGTAATGTATGTGGTCGACTAAAAATGATGTGCTGCTGTCTATGACGGTTTTAATCGTTAATCATCATCATGACAAAAATCAGAACCCTCTCCTGAGATCACTTCATTCCCCACTCCCCACCTCCCCATCCAACCTCCCACAGTGTCACCCATTGAATTAAAAAAAAAGTTTATGTTGTCTCCTCTCTCTAGTTTTGTCACTCATCGTCTAAAACGTCCAAGTTTCTTTAACAACGATTGGTTTGTCATTTACTTTAAAGTTGACTATACATGGCTGGAACTATTTAAACTTACCAGGACAGTAAAAGTTGACCACACATTAAAACTTACCAGGACAATAAAAGTTGACCACACATTTAAACTTACCAGGACAGTAAAAGTTGACCACACATTTAAACTTACCAGGACAGTAAAAGTTGACCACACATTTAAACCTACCAGGACAGTAAAAGTTGACCATACACGGCTGGGACTGGACCTTGTTGTAATCATTCCTGTCACAGTCGTCACAGACCTGTGCCCTTGACCTCCACCCCGCCCCACATGTCTTGGAGCAGGGGGACCAGGGTTCCCACACAATCAAGGTCACGGGTTCATCAGGAAAGTCAGGTGTCTCCACAATTTCTGAATAGGTACATGTAAACGAGAGATTAAAAACACACCTGCATAGAAATGTGGTGTTTTTATGTAAATCTTTTTAGATTAAATTCAAAGATGTTCATTTAAATATTATATAAAACGAATGCCTAAGTATAGTCATTGATTGTAATTTAGGTTAGGGCCCCTCTGCTAAGCTCGAGCTTTAGCTGAATACTGTGGTGTGGGTGCCAATCGATAAAGAAAATACCAGAACATTTATAGCAGCAATTAAATCTACTTAACCAAACATACATGGGGTCTCAGCACATTCGCGCTTTATTGTGACTACTAATTTAAACGCACATCTGTAAAGGATGAATTTTTATTTTACTTTTTACCTTATTTGGCGCCCGCAAAAAGTCGGCGCCCGGGCGGCTCTCCAGCCCGCCCTAGCTACGACTTACGCTAAATTGCATGCTTCGAAGACGTCATGAAATCTATATATATAATTCTCTTCATGGATACCATAGAAAACACAATGCAGCTTAGCCACCACCCCCACCTCTACCTGTCAGGTGAGCTGTGGTTCACCTCGAATGTTTACAATAGTAGAGCCGGTTCGAATACGTGACGGCTATTAGGGGCAGATAATTCAGTTTTTAAACGATTTGAAACTAAGAGGAGATAATAATTTCTGCTTGATATTTTCATTGTAAATGGCTGCTTTCACTGGGCGGGTTGGGGCGGGTTGGGGCGGGGTGGGGTGGGGGAGGCAGGGGGGTGGGGTAGTGTCGAATTCACAAATTATGAATTGTTGATAAGTAGAAAATAAAACAACTCGATAGCGGCGTATGCTACGTCGCGGGTCAGCTCGTATAAAAATTTTACTTGCAAAAACCTTTTTTTAAAAAAAAAAAAATTCCTGTTTAGCTTTTAGACCTCGTTAGTCGTGGAGACGATCACAGTGGAATTTATGTCCTAAATGTTACCTTGCTACCTTATATGTCCCCAGGTACAAAAGGGTTAACTCTACTCACCTTGTTTTGACGGCACGGGCCAGATAAACTCAGTGCTTGGGGCGGCTGGTATAAGGGGAGTGACGTCTGCTGCGATTGGCGGGAACTCACTTCCGGAATACGGTTTATTGTCGGAAGTTCTCGGGTTGTTGTCGGAAGTTCTCGGTCCACACGGTGAACACTGAAAACGGTTCCTTCCTAATTTTATCTGAGGATAAAGGGAAATAAAATGTGGAATACAGTCTTATCTACGGTTTTTAAAATAGATTTCAAAATGTACGAATGAAATAAAACATCCTAATTAGGCTCTATGAATTGTAAAGTAGTCATGTCGCTTGGAAACAGTTTGTATGCTGAGATGTTGTAAAATAAAACAAGAAAAGTAATTTCAAATCTTCTTCTTCTTCTTCTTCGTTCTTAATTTTTGATTATGGTGGAGGAATTAGACAACAAGTCCAACTTCGTGGACAAACCGGACTGTGGTTTCCAGTTTGTCAGGTGTCCCATATAATTTTTCCCTGAGTGGGGTGGGCTGGGGCCAGTGTCTGCCTCTTGCCTGGCTATACAGAGTACAATCCTGGAGTACGTGCTCCGTGTTTTCCGGGGCCTTGCCACAAGGGCACATTTCGCTACACCCAACCTTCAGTTTTTTGTGCATGTGTTGATTTAGTCTGTTGTGGCCTGTTCTAAGTCGAAAGATTATGTATTGTTGTTTTCGTGTTAAATTGTAATAGCCGTCGTCTTTAATGTAGTGAGGGTGTGTGACAGACCACATTTGCGTTTGTTTGTGTTTAATTATTCTTTTTATTTCTTTTGGGTGTAGCGAAATTTCCGGTTGTGGTTTCTTTCCCCCAATTTTTGCCAGCTGGTCTGCGATCTCGTTACCCTGGATCTGGCAGTGGCCCGGGATCCACTGCAGCACAATTCTGCTGCAGGTATTTTTTAGCCTCTCTAGTGCTGTCATGAGTGTTTGAATATAGGCCTCCGGATTTTGTAGGGATTGCAGGACTGATTTGGCATCTGTAAGAAATACAATCTGACTATTCGGTGATTCAGGGTGTTCTGACAGGAGGTTTGCTGCGTGTTCTAAAGCTTCTTTTTCTGCCCTAAAATTGTCGGATAGGCTGCCTGTGGCTATTGCCTTTTCCAGGCTTTTTCCGCTTGGCCATTCAATAAGGATGCCAGCCCCGCCGTTTTTTGTGGCATCTTCAGCTGAGCCATCTGTGAAAACTCTAATCCAGGTATTGCTGGGGTACTGATCCTTAATGTGTTTATTTGTTATTTTCTTAAGTTCTTCTAGATCATAGTCAGATTTTTTTCCTATGGTGTCTATTGAGTCAATAATGGTTAAGTGACAGTGGGAGATCCAAGGCGGGGAGAGGTTTTGAGTTTTTATTGCTTCAGGAATGATATTTTCGATTTCATATTTCTTTTTCAGGTTCTTTGCTTCTTTGATGAAACTTGTTCTTTGTAGTCTGGTTGATGGACTGGGTTTCTGGAGTTTTTGTTTTAGGTTATGGTTTTCCAGTGCCTCTAGCTTTGTGTAATGAGTGAGGATTTTTGATTCTCTTCTTTCTTCTATTGAGCTAAGAGCGGCTATTTCCTCCATAGCATTTATGGGTGTTGTTTTCATGGCTCCTGTCATTATTCTCAAACCAATGTTCTGAACTTTGTCAATTTTGCTAATATTTGTTTTTGCTGCTGAGCCCCAAGCCGAAGCACCATATTCTAACGTAGGTCTCACATAGCTGGTGTAGGTTTTTTTCAGGATGTGGTGATTTGCTCCCCAGTCTGTTCCTGCCAGTTTCCTCATTAGATTAAGTCTTTTGATCCCATTACTTTGTGTGTTTTCTATTTGTTTTCTCCAGGTAAGTCGAGTGTCAAAAGTGACTCCTAGGTATTTGGGGTGGTCATTTTTTTCTAGCTCTTGGTTTTCTAGGGTAAGTTTCATTTTTTGATGTTTAGTTGATAAGGTGAAGATTGAATAAGTTGTTTTCTTGGTATTGATGGATAAGCCCCAGTTTTTGGTCCATTTGCCGAGCTTGTCAAGTGTTTCTTGAAGACGAAATTTTGAGGTACCAATATATTCCTCTGTGCTGATTAGTGAAAGGTCGTCTGCAAACATGCTTCTTTTTACTCTCCTTGGGATGTTTTCATTTAAGTCATTTATATAAATGAGGAAGAGAGTAGGAGACAAGACTCCTCCTTGAGGGACTCCATTTTTTATAGTTACTGTGTGACTTCTTTTTCCTTGCATGGAGACTGATGCTTTTCGGTTGCTTAGGTAACCTTTTATCCAGTTTAGCATGTTATGAGATACTTGATGGTTTATTAGCTTTAGAATTAAGCCTTGCTCCCAAACCTTGTCAAAGGCTTTTTCAAAGTCGACCCACACTATTGAGGTTGGTTTTTTTTCTTGAAAGCCATCTTCTATTTCCTGAGAAATGAAGGTGATTTGGTCTTCAGTAGATCTGCACTTCCTGAAGCCTGCCTGTTCGTCTGCTAGTAGATTGTTCGATTCTAGAAACCAGGTCAGTCTGTTGTTTACTACTCTTTCCATCAGTTTACAAACGCAGCTTGTTAAACTTATTGGGCGATAGCTATCGACTTTGTTCCTGGGTTTTCCTATTTTTAGAACAGGTATCATGATTGCTTTTTTCCAAATATTTGGGATTTTCCCAGATTTCCAGCTTGCATTAAATATTTGGAGCAGTTTTTTCTTAGCATTGGGGCCCAAGTGCATGAGCATATCATTTGAGATTTTGTCAGGGCCTGGAGCTTGCTTAAGTTTGAGGAGCTTCATTGCTTCTCCGAGCTCCTTCTTGCTAATTCGAGCTACCATTCCAGTGGAGGAGGGGGGAGAGACTTTCTGTAGTTTTTCTTTAACTTCAGTTTGATTTTTAACCTCTTCTACTCTTTGGTGGCTGATATTTATTTGTCCCACTTTGCTGAAGTGGGTTATAAATTCTTTTGCTGCATCCTTTTCTGTTTTGATCGTGTTTTCAATGTCGATGACTATGGGAGTAGCTCTGTTTTCTTCTTGGTTTAGCCTTTTTGCAATACTCCATAGTTTATGACCATCTCTATCTACATTGAGGTGTTCTGTTTTTTCTTGCCAGCTTTTCCTCAATGCAGTTAGATACTTTTTTCTAAAGACTGCGTTTGCTGATTTTAATTTTATGTTATTTTCTACAGTGGGATTTTCTTCAACAATGTTTCTAGCATCAATTGTCTCGTCATGGAGTATCTGGAGGTCTGGAGTCCAGTTTGGGATATAATTTTTCCTTGCTCCCCTTGGAATTGATTTTTTGGCTGCTAACAGAACTGCTTTTGAGAAGGCTGTGTATGACTTGTTCACCTGTTTGGTTTTACAGTTGATTGGTCTTGTGTAGGAGTCTGTGAGGGAAGAGAAGAGCTCCCAATTAGCTTTTTTGTAGTTCCATCTAGGGCGGGGGTAGGCTTCAATTGACCTGTTTGATGTTTCTATCTGGATCAGGATTGGTCGGTGGTCGCTAGTGGCTAGTTGATCTGCAACTTCTCTTTTGCATTTTTTGGATATGCCATTAGTAGCAAAAGCTAGGTCGGGGGTAGTCGTGGTTAACCAAGACCTTGAGTAAAAAGTTGGTTTGTCATCAGGTTTATTTAGAAGGATGAGCCTATTTTCTGCTTGCCATTCTTCAATCTCCTCTCCTTTAGCATTGAGGTCAGGGTAACCCCAGCTCTGGGAGTGGCTGTTCATGTCTCCCACAACCAGGCACTCTTCGCTGTTTGGCAGGGAGATGCGGTCTAGTTCTAGGTCCTTATCAGGAGGACAGTAGCAATTGAAGATATTTAGGTTACCTTCTGCAAGTATGAGTTTGGTGCCCATTGTCTCAGATGCTGTTGAGTTTGGTATAACGATATCTGTTGTTGGTATGTCATTTTTTATGAGAATGAGGATACCTCCTTTAGGTCTGTTTTCCCTGTCCTGCCTTATGCAGGTGTATCCTCTAATAGAGAAGCGAAGATTTTTGTTGAGGTGAGTTTCTTGAATACAAGCAACGTCTACTTTATTTTCATGTAGGAATATTTTTAAGGCTTCCTTTTTTTTATGAACTCCCTCTGCATTCCACTGCAGGATAACAAGTAATTTGTTGTTTTCCTCACTATTTTGGCCAGTAGAATTTACCTTCTGATCCTTGCCCCTGGCTGGCCAGGCAAGAATAGAGGAACCACCAGCTCGCTTTTGTGGGCTCCTTCGAGGCGGAGAGCCCGGCCCCCTACCTGCGCGGCGGGATTCCACAGGCAGGACGCCACTTCTGTTAGTCCTATTTCTTTCCTCCATCATAAAATTAAGCAGTGCGTGCCAGCATGTTATGCGCCATACTAGATGGCCCGTTGACTCCGACTTCAGCCTGCTTTTCTTTCTGGATTTGCTTCCATAGCCTTTGATCACCCAAGAACAAACTACAAGGCAGTAGCTGTTTGATTTTGGAGTTGTCTCTCCTAGATGGGTTGCTGTCCCCAGCTAACGAGCCCCATCTGCCCGGGTTTGGAGTTATAGCGCCCCATGCTCGCCGTTGAAGTCATTTCCTTGGATTTATGAGATGCTTTTTATTGGATATCCTAACCAATGGATATCCCACCTCATCCTCCATGACCACAAACCAGTTGGTCCACGGCTGTTTATTTGGTATTCACAGCTAACCCTCATATCTAAGGGCCTCTCCCCTATCCGCCACCTGGGGACGCGCTCGGTAGGAGATGGTAGCTCCCCCAAGATTTCAAATCAAAATGCAAAATTTTATTTTAAAGTTTGAAGTAGATGTAGTGATGATGTATCTTGTCCGACTCTTGCTACTGCAAAAAAATGTAATTAACTGGGCCCTAATTGACACTACAAAAACTATTGACGAAGCTATGAAGACTTCCAGAGATCGAGGTCCTAAAATAAGATGTTTATGCAGACAAATATAGATCTCACAACAGATCATGTAACAGATGAAGAGTCAGTGAAAGAATCGCTAATGTGATTGGTGCTTGAAAATCAGCTAAGTATCGTCAGAAACTCAGATTGTGTGGACGTGATACAAGCCAACTGCCACCAAAGCCAATCATGCAGTTCATTCTGGGGGAGAAGGGGAGGGTAGGGGGGGGGGGGGGAGTAGGCTAAGACATAATTTAATGGAGGACATCAAGGAATGGACAGGGCTGTCCTTTCAATTTTCAGCAGAAGACCGAGTGGGATGGCCAAAAAATAAGAAGGGGATGTGTGGTTATATATGTTCGATTGATTTACTTGTATGTTCGATTGATTGGTTGATTGGTTGATATTAATAGTAGCCTATGACGTAGCTATGGTGGTACCGAGGAGGCCATTCGTTAATGACGGCACATTTAAAAAAAATATTCTGATAGAAAACACTCGGGATGTCTAAGTCCAAAGTCAGCACCAACAAAGTCAGCACGACTAAAGACAGCACCACCAAAGTCAGCACCACCAACGTCAGCACCACCAAAGTCAGCACCACCAAAGTCAGCACGACCAAAGTCAGCACGACTAAAGACAGCACCACCAAAGTCAGCACCACCAACGTCAGCACCACCAAAGTCAGCACCACCAAAGTCAGCACCACCAAAGTCAGCACCACCAAAGTCAGCACGATCAAAGTCAGCACGATCAAAGTCAGCACGATCAAAGTCAGCACGATCAAAGTCAGCACCACCAACGTCAGCACCACCAAAGTCAGCACCACCAAAGTCAGCACCACCAAAGTCAGCACCACCAAAGTCAGGTAACTCGGGTTTTTGTAACAAAGTGTGCTGAGTGTATGACTGTCACAATTCCTCACTAGACAAGTGACCATATTTATACATGCCCCGCCCCTCTCTCCACAATCTCGTTATTTTATCGTGTGATCTGCACATTAAGTTAAAAAATTGTTTTAAAAAAATTAAAATTTATACTTTAAGTCTACAGAAAAAGAAACGATTAAAAATTAAACGCCAGTAATAAAAGTTATTAAAAGTTAAATATTCATGACACCGGCACATATTTTTAAAAAATTGTCAATTCATAACATGTATTTCATTTGTTATTTTGAGCTCCTTGATTAATTATCTCATTAATTCCCGACCATTCTTGTCGTATGCTTGTTTTGTGGATTGGACGGACCGGTTTGGTCAGTGTTATGACAGGGGAAAGCGGACAAATCAAAATAGTGTGGTGGTGGGGGTGGAGATGGAGGTGATGATGAGGGTGGGGGTGGAGGTGACGGTGGGGGTGGGTGGGTGAACGGACTGGGGCTAGAGTCTAAAACAACTCATGCCTGGCCTTGCTAAACAGTGAATTAAATTCCGCGTTTGGACATTAATCTAATGTTGTTCCTTAGCCGAATAAATAGGGGGAAAATTGCAAACACATTAGGGCTGTGTATAAAGTTTATGAACATCTAAACACATTAGGGTTATGTATAAAGTTTATGAACATCTAAACACATTAGGGCTTTGTATAAAGGTTTCGACAACAGCTGGGAAACGTGCAGTATAAATAACTTATTATGTAAACTGGCAGTTTGAACTGGGGCAATACGAACCTTCCTTTCAGCGAATCCTTGACCTTTACCAGTACAACACGACTCGAGGTCGGTGTAGTCTGCTCTCTTGACAAAACCACCGCAGGTGTTACGTTTTTTCAATTTCCGAAAACAGAAGAGTTTCACTGTTGGGGGGGGGGGGGGGAGGAAAGTAAAAAAAATATATTTAATTACTCACCCGATTTTTTAGCCAGTCACCAACCCAGTCACAAACCCAACAACAACCCTCCCCCCCCCCCCCCACACCAACCCAACCACTTCACACCGAACCATATCATCGCAATCAGACTACGTCACAAAATGCCAAAACGACACAACACATTCCCTTCACAATTCCCACTTCTATATTAACCATAATCCTAACCTAAACTAACCACAACTTTAAACTAAAATTAACATAATTTTCATCAGTTTTGTTCTTTAAAAAATACCTTACCCGGCACCCTCTCCACTGTCATAAAGTGTGCCCCCACCCTTTAACTAGCCGTGGCACTAAGACACGGACTGCATCCACTGTACACATTCATACCCACAAGAAGACACCTGACACCAACAAAACCTCCACCAACAATCCACCAAAAATTCCTCCACTAATCTTCCACATGTTAGCTCCACAAAGACAAACATTAAAAACAACAGTAAATAAATGAACTGACTCCAGGCCGTCAGACAAAATACGATGTACATAAGGGGGGGGGGGGGTAAATCTTAAAAGTCTGTATGCATTCTTGATCTTTCAAAACATTTTCTCTGCCAAAACGTGTTATCATCAAAACAAGTCATCTGTCATAACATTTTATTTGTCAAAATTATTTTAACTTTCTCAACATTTATCTATCAAAACAAGTCCGGTCGTACAGCATCAACTCTCCCATCACTAACTGCCCAGCACTAAAACAATTATCACTTTATCTCTACAGCACTAATTAGCTGTTAATTCACAATACACTAATTAGCCCTCCGAAGCTACTTCACACAGAAATATCTCCCGCCTGACCTTCGCAAATAAACCCTTGATAAAAATCAAATAATCTTTGCATCCAACAAAAAGGTATCCATAAATGCTTCACATATTATGAAAAATGCTTCAACAATATGAAATAGACCCCCCCCCAATACCACCAACCAATATTCCACCAATATTCCACCGAAAAGTTACCCACCAATCCTTCACACTAAAGCACGCAACCAGTGCTCCACCAATATGTAAACAACCAGACCCACCACCCGCGAAAATTCCACCAATAATCCACCAAGAAACCCTCCACAACAACTCCACCACTAGCGTCTTCGATCATCCACCGAACTCGACCAAGCGGAACCACCCCGAGGTGTGCAAACACCATCTTGACGCCGTGTGAAAGCGATCGAGTTTTAAAAGGTACAAAATGCTCTTTTGTCAACATTAGCGTCAGCGTGCTTTGTGAAGGGATCGACGCCCCTTCACACCACTTTCTATGCTAGGTGGAAGTCAAAGGCTCACTTTATATGTGTTGGAGTATGTTGTCTTATACAACACTGTGTGCTAAAGTCTCACTGTATGCGTGTCTTAGTATATGTGTCAAAGTTTCACTTTATGTGTGTCTGTGTATGTCCAAGTTTCGTTTTATGTGTGTCTGAGTGTAGGCTATTTGTCTGACTTTATGTGTGTCTGAGTGTATTTGTCAGTGTGACTTTATGTGTGTCTGAATGTATTTGTCAGTCTGACTTTATGTGTGGCTGAGTGTATTTGTAAGCCTGACTTTATGTGTGGCTGAGTGTATTTGTAAGCCTGACTTTATGTGTCTGAGTGTATTTGTAAGCCTGACTTTATGTGTGTCTGTCAAAGTCTCACGGTGTATTTTAATTATTTTTTTCTCAGCATATTTGTTGTACAATAAATGTTGCTGTTGTAGTGTGTACAGATTTGATTTGGGATGAAATATAAAAAACAGACCCGAAGAGCGGCAACGATGTACCTCTAGGCATGAGAGTTTTTGTGATGAATAGTGCATTTCTTAGGTCTGTGTGTATTTATTGCTTGTTTTAAACTAAAGGTATAGATGTGTGTGTATTTATTGCTTGTTTTAAACTAAAGGTATAGATGTGTGTGTATTTATTGCTTGTTTTAAACTAAAGGTATAGATGTGTGTGTATTTATTGCTTGTTTTAAACTAAAGGTATAGATGTGTGTGTATTTATTGCTTGTTTTAAACTAAAGGTATAGATGTGTGTGTATTTATTGCTTGTTTTAAACTAAAGGTATAGATGTGTGTGTATTTATTGCTTGTTTTAAACTAAAGGTATAGATGTACGTGTGTGAGTGTGTGTGTGTGTTTACTGCTCTTGTTAGACTGAAGGCATAGTTGTGTGTGTTCAGTGCTTGTCTTAAAGTAATGATTTAAGGTGTGTGTGTGTGTGTGTGTGTGTGTGTGTTAGTGTATAGGTTAGTATGAAGTACCAAAGTATGAAAGAAAAATGTGTTTACCTTCCACGTGAGTTAATTCCAGCAGAAGTACCAACAGAACGAATTGCACCTTGGGTTTCATCTTGTCATTACTTAATTAGCCGGAACTAATCATTTGTCCACGACCGCTGTGGCGGCTATCTGCTGGGGGAATTCAGTCGTTAGAGTTAGCAGAAATGACACGGTGATACCGTTTTCATCTCATGATTAAACTAGGGAATTATCAACATGGGAGGTAATCACATTACAGGGGAGACTACCTTTTAAACATAAAGGTTTTAATTTAATTTTTGTTTACAAAATTCCAAGCAAAATTTGATTTAAGGTACATAACTGTTGAAATGTGTATTCGCTGTGTTCTAATCATTGTACTACACGAAAGTAAAAGTCTCATCGTGGTTCCCACGTTACAAAAATCTCTAGGATTAGCTCGGCCTTAGAATTTCGGCAGCTACATGACAAAAATCTGGCCACCTAGACAATAGCCTTTCACTGCTCGGCCTGATTTCTATTACCGGTTTCCGCTGTGGGGGAAGACGTGGTATGCCGCTAGGGCTAATTTAAACTTACGTGAAACTTGTTTTAAAATGTGGTGGAAAATATTTGCTTGACATTTTTTTATTCTTGTTTTTTTTTTTAATTCTTGACTTTAGTTAACAGGTTTGTCAAAATTGCGTTTGAAGCTTTGAATTAATATAAAAAAATGGTGATTGAAAAAAAATATTAAATACCTTAATGAGCCCGAGTGTAGACACAACACAACACAGGTATTTTAAAGAAAGTTCTGGATGTTATTTTTATTTGGAAAATTTCTCGGTACTCCAGTCTGCCACACCGCCGCCCGTCGTAGCATTTTTGCAATAAGAAAAATAAAAGCCAAACGATCTTGACATTCATGGGTTATGTCCCCCTTTGAATAAACCCCCTTAGTGCTCTCAGACGGGAATAAAAAAAAAAATTGGTTTGATTCGTCCCAGATAGAATACAAAACTTGGACGGGAAAACTGAGCGAGGCGAACGCTTTCTCACCCTTGAGAAATTTATATCTTTGAACTAGATTCTAGTCTACAAATCATTTTTTGATGTCCAACGTAAAGACTAGTTTTTTTTAACCAGTTTCTCTTTTGGTCACAAAACACACACACACAAACATACATAACACATTTACACATTTTACACATTATTTTTCAAACAATTTTTTTTTACTTTTGTAAATCTTTAATATTTCAGGCAAAAAAAAAAAAACTGAATATTTTTTTCTATAATATGTACCGAGTTAACATTGGGCGTCGACAGCGTGTTCTGATTTTGGGTTGTAAAAAATTGTGTGGGTCTGCAAACTGGCCACAGTGGCGTATGCAAGAAGGGGGGGGGGGGTGTTAGGGGGGTTATAACCCCTCCCATGGACCCCTATATATATATATATATATATGATTATATACGTATTTTCGAACCCCTCCCATGATCAATTCCTGGCTACCCACTGAGTGGCCATGTTGTGTGCGTCTACACGACAAACTGCTATGTGTTGCTTTGTGGAACAAACCGCAGTCCATATTTGCATAGACCCACACCAAGAATGGAGGTGGGAGAGATGGGAGGGGACCGTGGGTTGTGGGTACTAGATGCCAGAGGCGTAGCTAGAGGAGGGCGGGTGGGGCGACCGCCCCGTGTGCCGACTCTAAAGGGGGGAGGGGGGTTGCCAAACGAGGTAAAAAGAATAATTGAAAAAAAAAACATTCTGGGCTGCATTACTGAATGATACATATAGACTACTGCTTGGCTTTACTGACTAACTTAACTGCGTTCAATTTTGTGACAGCATAATAACAGCTGTTAAGTGATAGTGAAAAGTGAAACGGGGGAAGGTGGGGGGGGGGGGGGGCTTTTTTTCTTCTATGTGGCACAAATCATATATTCCCCCCAGGCGCCGGAATAAGTCGCTACGCCTCTGAAAGATGCACCAGGAAAGTTGTTAGGACTCTGACAACAAAACAGCTATTTATGGACTGTGGAGAGGGGATGTAACTATTGGAGAAGGCAGGGAGAAGTATGTTGTCAGGGAGCATCAAGTAGGCTTAATTTAAAGTAATTATTAAATTTAAATCTAAATAAATACTATATTATCTAACAAAAACTAGGTAGATAACTCGATTAGTTTGGTGAGCCGCAATTCAAGAATATCGTTTGCAAATTCTAGAGACCAGACATAAGTTAATAAGGAGCGGATACTCTTGTAAAGGGATGTCATAATATTTCCCGTTCGTGCCCAATACATATGGGGCAGATGAAGTAGTGTTGATCTACTTCAATGACCTCGGCACAGAGGGCGATAGTGTGGTCATCACTACATAGAGTGTTTATTTAAAGAAAATATTAGGTCATTATATATCAGTCTATCGTACATATTATTATTTTCTTAAATATAGTAAATTTAGAAGTTGCAGTAGTATAGTTTTTTATACTTGTTTTGTTTAAATTTGAAAACTACTAGGTCTATGTGTAGGCTAAAATTTAAATACAGCCATATAAATACTGGAAATTTGTAAAATATGCTTAAGCGATAAGGTTATATTTTATAATTTTTCATTAGCTATATAGTCTAGGCCTTTTTCTGTTAATTGCGCATTTTAGTTACTTAGATAAAAAGTTCGATGTAATCTTTAAAAAAAAACCCGCTATAATTAAGTTCAAACTTTTTTGTACGTAAAATAAATAAGCAAAAACAGCTAAAGTAAATGATATTTTGAGTCAAATATCAACAATTTCGATTTTACCATAAGTCCAGTTTATTTGAGTCAAAAAAATAAATTACGTTTGGCTTTGTGTTGTTAAACCGCTCTGGCCACAATTGTCAGCGTTCTTTGCAGTAATGTTAAAAAACTCACTTCGTACTATCTGCGTGTGTAGTCCCCATCATCAATTTCCTGTCACTTGGATCTTGTAGAGCTGGTATAAAATGGTTAGCGAGAGGCTCGGTGGCTGTTATGTTGAATAGTTTTTTTTCTGAGATCTCAAAAAATTAGGGTAACGAAAATGATTTATTCATAGAAATGCAAATTGCCCAGATTGTTGCCATGACTACCAGATCTGTTTGGCGTCTTCAGGGCTAAACGTGTTATTATGTGCATGAGAGTGAGCGACATTTTCTGTGCATGTGTAACATTTGTTAAGTATCCACTTTGAAGGTGGTTTTAGACCAATATTTTGTACTCAACACGAAGGCCTTCATTAAAGTACACAATGTTGCCATTTGAATCTAGATCATGAGTCAATCTTGTCTAGACTTTTCTAGACCAAGGCCAGTTTTGGCTTGCTTGATGTTTCTGCATGCAGCCGTTATCGGCAGAGGTGCTCCCCCCCCCCCCCCCCCAGTTTTCTCAAGCTCGCTTAACGTTACACTTAAGCCTCCTCATTCAAATTGATTCTTTCTAAATTATCGAGTTGTTTCCCTTAATTAAGGGGACATAATTAAAAAAAATAATCTACATTACTATTTTTACTCGATTGATCTTAACGAAAACGTCACAATTGATTATTTATGGTCAAAATGTCCTATATTTCAAAGTAATGACTAAAAGTACTAACACTAAATGAATTTTAATTTTTTTTTAAATGCACTATTTGACAACCTCATACACCCATGGTCAATCCAAGAAATGATTTAACAATCATATTATTTCTAATGCCTTGATTTATTTTTCAGATTCCTGATACATCATTTAGGGTGAATAAAAAATGCTCAAAACAAAAATATTTAAAATTGCTATAGCATTTCTTATTCAACACTTTTCAGTCGTTTCTATTTTCCCAATTTTTCTCTAATAATTTTTAATCCTTTTAAATTTCTCTATACCAGGTCTTTTAGGGTCTCTCACTTTTTCTTGATCCTTGTTGATCCCGCCAGTTTTCTCAACATATGACCAACCCATCTCTTTGCCTAATCTCTTGCGCCTCTGGGATTTGTGCCATAGCACTAGAGACACCAATGTAATGTCAGTGGGCAAGGGCCACACTGGGGTCAATGACACGTATTCATTGGGCACCAAATACTATTTAAGTAATATGAGGTTACCAGCCATGTATTTCAATCATTACGATAAAACTTAAAATAATAAAATCTCTTGAGATTAAAAAATACACCTCACAAACACCTTTTGATATTTAATGAGTTTATACCTGTATGCTAATAAAATTGTACCAGAAGGCACAGCATATACAAAAATGTCAAAAATATCACAGTAAAAAATTTCTTTAGGCTAACACATCTCTTGTCTCCAGTTTATTTTACACATTTTATTAAAGGGTATACAGTTTTTAAATCAGAGCTAGAAAATATCTGCCAAAAGTTAGGGCAGGTAATCTGTAGACCTCATGCAGTAGAGGCATGATTAGCTCCCCTGTAATGGATGCCTTTTTATTCCCCTTGAATAAAGGGCATCTATTACTGCCCTAGAAGCTGCTCCACTTTGCCAGGTAAGCGAAGATTAACAGTTTTACAAACTGCCTGTTTGGCCAATCCCCAGTTATCATAACAGTATATAAAAGTAAGTAAAGAAACAAAACATGGCTGCTATCAGGTCTTGTTTGTTTCCTTATGTATCATTTAGTTTTTGACTCTGTGTTTAGAATTTAATTTTTTAATGTGGTCACCTGAGAAATATAAAGATAGGTTGGTAAACTGTAAAAATATATTCTGTAAAAATTCTATTACCACTTTTTTTTTATATTGGTCAGTTCTTCATCAGTAGCAGTTAAGAGAAATCTAAAAATAGACCATTTTAACGCTTAGTTATTTTCCATCTAATTAAGAAGGTAAGTTATAAAAAATGAGAAAATGTATTTCTATTCAACTACAATTTTTGGGAGGTAACAAAACTTAACATAGTAAGGTAGGCCTATTCATTCAAATGTAACGCAACTTTGTTCAACATTAAAATTTACGGTATACAATACATCAATAGTATCATCAGATCTTCTATGTTTGGCAATGGTATAACTGTACGGAAGAAGAACATATACAATAACATAATCTCTGAATCATCAAAATAATGAAGTGTGACATTTCGAGGGGCTCACAACAACTGTGTTCATACATTGATTGATCCAAGGAAAAGACTTTAAATCAAGAGCGGTTTCTGTTTTGGGGTATAATTTAATAAAAATAATATAGAAAAATATATATATATATATATATAAATATATGTACAGCTAAAAATATTAATGTTCAATAATAACAATTACCTCAGTGTTTTAATTTACATTTTTCAATAATTTAATTTTTTTATAGTTATGTTTTCAGTATAATTCCATACATGAGTATAACACAATGCACACAAGTTTTATGTGGTATTTTGGCCTGGTATTCAGTTGAGTTTGTGTAGAGTCCGCTGTACACCACTGCTTTACCCCCTGGCTGTTTCCTGGTCGTAGTCTGGCATCATGTAGTCTTCTAGTTCTTTCTGCCGCTGCATCAACGTCTAACGATAAAGTAAAAAAATATCAGATTTTGTTTTTAACACATCTTATGCATGAGATTCTGTTTGACATTTTAATATGACAGCAAACATGGCATTTCAATCAACAATAACCACATGACATTTTTCCAGAAAATAATTAAGACATTTTAAAAATGACATTACTACACATGACATTTCAACAAGATGTGGACATTTAAAAATGACATTATTACACATGACATTACAACAAGATGTGGACATTTAAAAATGACATTATTACACATGACATTACAACAAGATGTTTGTACAGACAATACAAAAGTAATTTCTACAGAAATGTTAACTAAAGTCTCCAGGATATCCCTGAGTCCACCCAGCTCTGATGGGTACCTGACTCACGTTAGGGAAAGAAAAGGTGGTTGGGCACAGTGCTGACCACACTATCCCTTCATAGGCTGAGGTCAATTAAATAGGTTAACTCTACCTAATCTGCCCCACGGAATGTAAGGTTGAAAAGGGTACTTACTTATTCTGATGACATTTCAATAGGCCACATGACATTTAAATACAATATATGAATAACCTTTCTACGGGACATTTCCACAGATCATACAAATGACCTCTCTATGGACCATACAGATGCCATTTCTATAGACCATACAAATGACATTTCTATAGACCATACAAATGTCATTTCTATAGACCATACAAATGACATTTCTACAGACCATACAAATGACATTTCTATAGACCATACAAATGACCTCTCTATGGACCATACAAATGCCATTTCTATAGACCATACAAATGCCATTTCTATAGACCATACAAATGACATTTCTATAGACCATACAAATGACATTTCTATAGACCATACAAATGTCATTTCTATAGACCATACAAATGACATTTCTACAGACCATACAAATGACATTTCTATAGACCATACAAATGACCTCTCTATGGACCATACAAATGCCATTTCTATAGACCATACAAATGACATTTCTATAGACCATACAAATGACATTTCTATAGACCATACAAATGACCTTTCTATAGACCATACAAATGACATTTCTATAGACCATACAAATGACCTTTCTATAGACCATACAAATGACATTTCTATAGACCATACAAATGACATTTCTATAGACCATACAAATGACATTTCTATAGACCATGCAAATGATATTTCTATAGACCATACAAATGACATTTCTATAGACCATACAAATGACCTTTCTATAGACCATACAAATGACATTTCTATAGACCATACAAATGACCTTTCAAATAGACCATACAAATGACATTTCTATAGACCATGCAAATGTCATTTCTATAGACCATACAAATGACATTTCTATAGACCATACAAATGACATTTCTATAGACCATACAAATGACATTTCTATAGACCATGCAAATGATATTTCTATAGACCATACAAATGACATTTCTATAGACCATACAAATGACCTTTCTATAGACCATACAAATGACATTTCTATAGACCATACAAATGACCTTTCAAATAGACCATACAAATGACATTTCTATAGACCATGCAAATGTCATTTCTATAGACCATACAAATGACATTTCTATAGACCATACAAATGACATTTCTATAGACCATACAAATGACATTTCTACAGACCATACAAATGACTTTTCAAATAGACCATACAAATGACATTTCTATAGACCATACAAATGACCTTTCTATAGACCATACAAATGACATTTCTATAGACCATACAAATGACATTTCTATAGACCATGCAAATGTCATTTCTATAGACCATGCAAATGATATTTCTATAGACCATACAAATGACATTTCTATAGACCATACAAATGACACTAACCTTCTTGAGAGATGACAGCTGTTGTAGAATCATGTCCTGTCTTGCTGTGGGATGATCTAGCACTAACCCTGGGTTTGTTAACTGGTTTTGTGGCCCCTAAAAAATAAACATTTACAGTAGATGATGATTTCTGGTCAAAATATAAAGATTCAAAACTGACATATAAGGAATAAACTTTGGCAGTAATACAGTAATTATCTGTGGCTAAATACTAATTACTAACTTAGAAATACATTCTTACAGTAATAAGATATAATATCAGATATAAAATATAGACTAGTGTTTAAGAAACAAAGAAAATGAACATAATAAAATATAAAAGGCTGGGGTTTGTTGTATCTTGCTTATACAAAATGTTGGTAAAAACATACAAGACCTACATGAATATTTGTTCTAAGCAAATATGTGCCATACTAAACATGGCCACAAATTTATATGCAGGATAGGATACTTAGGTGAAATGTAACACGTTTTAAATAAAAGTGCAAGTAAAGATTAATGTCAATGAAAGAGGATACATCAAAGGTGGTTATGCAGGTGTAAAAGATGGTGATTTAGAACAGTTCAAATAGGTAAATATTTACATTCAAACCAGGTGTGCACTCAAGGCTTGAATATAATAAGTAGACAGGTAGAAATCATTGATAAGTAGGGTCAGGTAAAACATCTAAGTAAATAGTAATTATTTAATATGCATTTACCTTTAGAATTGCCTCCCTTTCTCTGTCCTGGTATATGTCTAGTTTCCTCCCCTTGTTAGCTGGGTGGTGTATTTCATAATAAGCTTTTCTGGCCCTTTCCATGCGGGAGTTCTCACGTGAGATGGCTACAGGTTCTTCAGCTTTTGATGGGTCGAGTATTTCTGTGGTCCGCATGAAGGGAAGGAAATCGTCTTTGTTGGGCTCTATGGCGGCATCCGCGTACCTTTCAGTCTGGCTGCTGCTGAGGTAGTTGTTGGTGTAGGCGTAGGGGTCTGCGTCGACGGTCCTGTTGGTGCGATGCTTGACAGACGGGACTGGCGGAGAGTTGCTGAGAGCAGATTTGCTTCTGTCGTTCAGCAGGGACAAGACGTTTGGGGATGTGTCTCGGTTGGGGTCAGATGCTTTCTCACTTTTGGGTTTGCGGGTCGGAGCGGGTTTCCTCCCTCGCTCCTCCACCTGCGGTACATCATCCGGCGACGCATCCCTCTGATTCCTGCCCGGGCTCCTCGAATGGGAGGGAATTCTGGTCATGTTGAGTTCCTGAAGGTACAGGAGTTGTCTTTCCCTTTTAGTCCTCCTTTCCTCCGCTTCCTGTCGTTTTTGGGCGTAGAACGGATCTTTTTCGGAATTCTTCTTCACAGCAGTTTTCCTGGACTTCTGGTTCCACAGAGGTCGTTCACCCAGCGTCAGAGTTTTCTCCTTGCCCGGGGCTTTGGCGACTGGTTCTGCTTTCTTGGACATTCTCTGGCTGTCATCTGCACTCTTAACATGGACTTTACGTTTTGGATCTTTTTTAATCTTCTCCTTTAGAGCCTCCTCCACTTTCATTTTGTACTCGATCTGAACATCATCCGGCAGACTTTGAAGAATCTTCTTCAGATCTTTCAGCTCCACTGAAATTTTTAGTTTAAAAAGAAAATCATGATAAAATATTTCTTTATGTCAGTGTTATAGAGTTGAATTTCTGATGACCAGTTCTCCATTTATTTATGTATCAGGCTGAATATATATATATATATATATATATATATATATATATATATATATATATATATATATATATATATATATATATATATATATATATATATATATATATATATATATATAAAAGTAAAAAAAGTGAAGTAGAGTTCACTTGTTTCTGTGACCTCGGCATATGAAGAGATAGTGTGGTCAGCACTATGCCCGACCGCCTTTACTCTCACTAACGTGAGTTAGGTACCCATCAGCGTTGGGTGGACTCAGGGACGGTCTACTGACTTGAACCCGGATTCGAACTCGAGACTTACGGGTTAGCAGTCCAGCTCTCTACCGCTAGACCACTACGTCCCTCATATATATAAGTACTAACCTATTATCGAACTGGTTATTTTTCAAAAGTTAATTTAAAAAAAAAACTAAAAAAAAACAAACTTCATGTTCAAATCTTAACTCACATGTCTGTGTGCCAAATTCCCTCCGTGGTGAGTCTGGGATATCCTGGGGCTTGCTGGGGCTCCTAAACCTACTGGGAGTCAACACCCTGTCTTCTATGTAGGGCTCGTTGTTGTATGGCCTTGAACTTTGGTTGTGCTCATATTCCTGGTGTCTGTATGATGCAGGGGGCGATGCCGGGCGCGTCTTTTGAGAAAAGCGTTCAGTCAGCAAATCTTCCATCCCTGGGATGGTGGTCGTGTCATATTTTCTTGGGGAAACTGGTGACAATATGACATGACACTTAGACATGACAATGTGATAAATGACATGAAAGTGTGGCATGGCAGTAAAACATGTGTCATGACAGAGTAACAAGTGACACAGTAAGCCATATGACATGACCGTGGGAAATGGAACATGACATGATACACAAGTATATGACATGATAGTGACCTACAAGCAGGACAGAGGAGACTAATATAATATAATACTAATAAGGGGCTAAGATGCAAATGAATTACTTTTATATCTCAATGAAGTCTACTTTGTAATAACCATGAACCAGTAATAACAACAAGAATTTTATTTTTATTTTCCTTTTTAATAATGTATACAAACTAGATCAATATATATAAGCACTGTAAAATTAGTTATCATCTACATCAATTCCTTAAAACTGCATGGTTTTACAGAATAATGAGAGAATATTTTAACAAAAATGATAATAATGCTTAATAAGAAAATAATGGCAAAGAAAACAACAAAGAAACGTGTCAACCAATAAAATTTGTAACAAACATGAAACCAGCTTGTGAGGTACCTGCTACTTCATTGTTTGATATAGCAGAGTTGTCCCAGTCTAGGAGGGGAAAACATAATTGACAGAGCTTAAAAAGTTGTTTTAACAATAAAAATTTGATGAACTGAAGAACTGATTTAAGATGAGGTAGCCCAGTGGAAGTGTGTTTTGAAGTTTGTATTGAGGGAAGCAGATTTTTTAATCTCAGTCCAGTATTGTTGCTCAAGTGGATAAAGTGGCACTTCTGGTAGTACTGCGACACTAATCATAGGCCAAGTTAGCACAGGGGAGGTTATCACACAGGGAGCCCACACACACAGGGAGCCCACACACACAGGGAGCCCACCACACAGTGAGCTCCCACCATAGGGAGCCCACACACACAGGGAGCCCACACACACAGGGAGCCCACACACACGGGGAGCCCACACACACAGGGAGCCCACACACACAGGGAGCCCACACACAGGGAGCTCCCACCATAGGGAGCCCACACACACAGGGAGCCCACACACACAGGGAGCCCACCACACAGGGAGCTCCCACCATAGGGAGCCCACACACACAGGGAGCCCACACACAGGGAGCCCACCACACAGGGAGCTCCCACCATAGGGAGCCCACACACACAGGGAGCCCACACACACAGGGAGCCCACCACACAGGGAGCTCCCACCATAGGGAGCCCACACACACAGGGAGCCCACACACACAGGGAGCCCACACACACAGGGAGCCCACCACACAGGGAGCTCCCACCATAGGGAGCCCACACACACAGGGAGCCCACACACACAGGGAGTCTACCACCAACACAGGGAGCCCACACACACAGGGAGCCCACCAACACAGGGAGCCCACACACACAGGGAGCCCACACACACAGGGAGCCCACACACACAGGGAGCCCACACACACAGGGAGCCCACACACACAGGGAGCCCCCACACACAGGGAGCCCACCAACACAGGGAGCCCCCACCATACCTCCATAAGTAGCCTTTAGCTGTGACACGTCATGGCCCTGCTGCTGGAGATGATGAATCCTCTTGGTATTTTTTTCTTCTTTTGCCCTTTCTTCAGCTTCGTCCATAGCTGTTTTCAGCACAGCCATTTGCTTTTGTCGCAACTCCTAATAAATCAATAAAAAGTTCAATCAACCTGCTATAAACATGATAAAAATAAATAAATCCTTTTTACAACTTCTTGAAAGCTCATCAGTGTTTAAATTAAAATAATTCATTAGATACCAGGTTAAACAATTGTTTAACCACTAAATCAAAATCAAATCTACTCTTCAGACAACAAGAGTTGATGTTCCTGAAGACCACTTACCTCCCTTTCTTTGACCTTCCTTTGCTCATATTCTGACTGCATGTTCATCTTGTCCCTCTCCATCTGTAGTTTCCTCTCTTCTTCAATATCTTCACGAATTTTCCTTTCTCTCTCTTCTTTCTTTTTTCTTTCTTTTTCTTCAATCTGGGCTTTAACTTGCGCCTATAGAAAAAAAAAACCCAATTTGTGGATTAGATTACTTCCAGCATGTATTGTAACAAAAAAAACTCAGAATTAACAAATGGTGGATTAGAATACTTACTGAGGATTAAATAGCCAATAATATTTAATCTCAAACCAGATTGTTTTTTTAAATAATGATTAATTTATGGACAGAATTGTTTAAAATCACACAACCAATTAGTATACACTGAGTTTATTGGACTGTTGGCACATGGAACATACAACTAATTTATGTCCACCTGTTTTGTGCAAGCAATAAATGCTTTACAGTAATTGTTTGAAACCTACTTGATAATCCAGCTGAGCCTTTCTCTTTTCTTCCTGTTCCTTCTGAGTTGCAGGGTCAAAAAATGCCCTCTGACCCCGTAAAAATGATTTCCTGTGGAATATTAAATATATTCATCTACAATATTCAGCAAAGGAGAGCTTGTGGGATTCAAATTATAATCTATTTTAATATCAGATTTGTTATTCTTTTAAAATATATTATATAAATAAACACATATGAAGCTCATGCTCTTCATTAGAAAAGTTAAGTTTGGCTAAAAAATGTAAAGCAAATGGCAATTTATTTATTGGAGAGAAGTTAGTTTTACTATAGAAATAATAAACTGTTTATTTGAAAAGATCAGATTGACTTAAAAAAGCATATTTTAGAGAATTTTAAATTTAGTCATAAAACATGACAATTTTAAAAAAGTTTAGATTGACTTGAGAAATGCATGTTAGAGAGCTTTTAGCTTAGTTATAAAACATTAAACTTTCACTGTATTTAAAAAAGCTAAGATTGACTTGAGAAATGCATATTTTAGAGAGTTTTTAGCTTAGCTATTAAAATATGAAACTTACGGTTCATCATTCCCAGTGTTGGTGTCTGGGTTAGTAGTGTGGGGTGCACTGCTGGTTCGCTGGGGAGACAACTCTACACCTCGTGGTGAACCAAGATGAGTCTGATTTACCTCCCTAGCTTGATGCAGTTTTTTGTGATCAGAGGGATAGGGGTCAGCCCATAACCCATCGTTTAGCTTAGACTCTGCTTCATAGCCTTTCGTGGGATGAGGATGGTTTGAGTTGGCCTCCTGTGTGGGCAGCAACTTCTTGTGATCTGACTGGTAGTGATCTGCCCATGCCCCATCATCTTGGTGTCTCTCCCTCTCTTTCTGGGCCTGCTTGGCTAGACGTTGTTCCTCTCTTTGTTTCTCTACACCCAGAACAAATGGATATAATTTAATAGTTATACATGTTATTCCATTCCTGGGTTAACACCTTGCTAATGCTTAAATAAATAATGGTGTATACAACACACAAGTATACACAAGAAATTGTAGTGGTAAGTATTGTATTAGACTGTCTTGCTGCTAGACCTAGACCACATAATTAGACCCACTCATATTTTACTTTCTAAAGCCTGTGTTACTGGCAAATGTTTAAGCATGTACAGGTAAGATAAAAAAGTTACCTAAATCCTCTACAGGTAAACTGAAGATAAAATGTTACCTAAATCCTCAACAGGTAAAACAAAGATAAAATGTTACCTAAATCCTCTACAGGTAAACCAAAGATAAAATGTTACCTAAATCCTCTACAGGTAAACCAAACATAAAATATTACCTAAATCCTCTACAGGTAAACTGAACATAAAATATTACCTAAATCCTCTACAGGTAAACTGAACATAAAATATTACCTAAATCCTCTACAGGTAAACTGAACATAAAATATTACCTAAATCCTCTACAGGTAAACTGAACATAAAATATTACCTAAATCCTCTACAGGTAAACTGAAGATAAAATATTACCTAAATCCTCTACAGGTAAACCAAAGATAAAATATTACCTAAATCCTCTACAGGTAAACTGAACATAAAATGTTACCTAAATCCTCTACAGGTAAACTGAACATAAAATGTTACCTAAATCCTCTACATGTAAACTGAACATAAAATGTTACCTAAATCCTCTACAGGTAAACTGAACATAAAATGATACCTAAATCATCTACAGGTAAACCGAACATAAAATATTACCTAAATCCTCTACAGGTAAACCAAAGATAAAATGTTACCTAAATCCTCTAAAGGTAAACCAAAGATAAAATGTTAACTAAATCCTCTACAGGTAAACCAAACATAAAATGTTACCTAAATCCTCTACAGGTAAACTGAACATAAAATATTACCTAAATCCTCTACAGGTAAAAAGATAAAATGTTACCTAAATCCTCTACAGGCAAACTGAACAAAAAATGTTACCTAAATCCTCTACAGGTAAACCAAACATAAAATGTTACCTAAATCCTCTACAGGTAAACTGAACATAAAATATTACCTAAATCCTCTACAGGTAAAAAGATAAAATGTTACCTAAATCCTCTACAGGTAAACCAAAGATAAAATGTTACCTAAATCCTCCAGCCACTTGCGCTTCTCCTCTGCTTTTGTTTTGTCGTACCTTTTGTCATTGAGAGCCCCAGTCTGTGGTCAAATACATTCAATAGCTTACACATAGGTCAATACAAATACATTCAATACCTTACACATAGGTCAATACAAATACATTCAATAGCTTACACATAGGTCAATACAAATACGGTTGTATTACCAATACTAACCATGAACCTACTTCAAAACCATAGAACCCCTGAACCCTTAATCTACCAAAACAACCAGAGAAACCATGAAGCTACTACAACCCCTCAACCCACCATAACCCCTCAGCCTACCACAACCCCTCAAACTACCCCCAACCCATCACAACCCCACAATCTACCTCCAACCCCTCAAAATACCCCAACTCCACAACCTACCCCCAAACCACCACAACCCCTCAAACTACCCCCAACCCACCACAACCTTTCAACCTACCCCCAACCTATCACAACCCCTCAAACTACCCCCCAACCCACCACAACCTTTCAACCTACCCCCAACCTACCCCAACCCCTCAACCTACCCCAACAACCATTGAACTCCTCATTGCTGCAGGTGGCGCACTAGTTTCCACAGACACAACTGGTCCAGGCTCTGGGTCTTTAGGCTTCTGGCTAACCCTGTTGTGAACAAGTCATTCTTCCATTAGCTACCCGCACATCATTACCCCAAGCCTAAAATTGCTGTGCTTGTATTTAACAGGTTTGGTTTATTTTTGACAGGCTGGCAGTATTGTGTCATAGCAACAAGGTAATGTGTTGTATTTTGTAAGGGTGGTGCCCTGAAGCCACTTCAACAGGGTAAACATTGTTTGACAAACAAAGCTGGGTATTGGTTACAGGGAATATTGCTGACAAGGCAAATTTTAAAGAGCTAAATATTCCACTTTTGCAGGAGTACTGACTATGTATACTGTGTTCACTGACTTAACTCTTTGCTAAACTTAACTTTTTTCTAAAAAAAATAAAATTCAACATGAGGCTTACTGGGCATATCTTGGAGAAATTTGTTCAAATGTTTTGTGGTAAATGAAGCGGTCAGCCCACTGGTCATGTAACCCAGTTCTGTCTTGCTCTTTCTCCATCTGTTTCTTCATGCGCTGTTCTTCTCTTTGTTTGTCTGTTGCAGTAATACAAAAAGCTTTTATAGAACAAACTTAGAACAAATGCTGGAGAAAATGTATATGTTGTGGTTACCCAACTAAAATAAAGGACCTTTCATTTGCTGTGTGAAAAAATAGAAAACTACAAAAAATACTACAATAGTGCATACATTTGAACTAAAACCAGCTAAATTTAACAGAAAGAAAAAGTTTCCACAAGAAATTTCTAACATACCAAGTTCAGCTAACCATCTCCTTCTCTCCAATTCCTTCTTGCTTAAAACATCATCTTGTCTCTCAGTCTGCTGAGATAAACAAACATCTTTGTTTACTTCAAGGTAGAGGTGCTCACACTAGATAGGGTTTTAACCCATTTTATCCATTTTATAGTGGTTAGTGCATTCAAATAGTAAATCTATTGGTTAATGCTATAAACTAGTTCATCCAAAGGTTAGTGCATTAAACTAGTTAATCCACTGGTTAATGCTTTAAACTAGTTCATCCAATTAACATAACCCTTTAGATTAGTAAATCCTTTTCATTGGTTAATGCTTTAGGCTATCTAATAAAATGGTTAATGCTTTAGACTAGATAATAAAATGGTTCATGCTTTAGATTAATTAATCCATTTTAACTAATTAATCCACTTTACTCATTAACACTTTAGATTAGTTAACACAGTTTATTGGTTATTCCTTTAGACTACTATTAATGATTATTAAATTATGCTTTAGATTAGTTGAGCAACATAACTGGTTAAAGATTTACTTAATCACCTTTGCTGTTTAAGTTTAACACTTAAATCTCAACCTATTTCCCCTACAAGTTTGACTTTGAAGTTTTAATTGAAAAAAAAACAACCTGCCTTTATACTATCAATTTTTTCATCAGCCCTCTCTTGGCTGCCCTTAACATTACTAGTGTGTCCATTAAACTCCCCCTTTTCTTTCTGTTTATCAGACAGCTCTTTTCTTATCTTTTCCTCTTTGGCTTTTTTTCTTTTCTCTGCTTCCAATATGTCTTTCTGAAGTTTTTCAATTTCTTCAGCAAGAGCTGCCTACAGTGGTGATCAACATGCAAAAAAACATTCCAATCCAAAATAAAAACAATTTAAGGTAATACTATTCCAATCCAAAATAAAAACAATTTAAGGTAATACTATTCCAATCCAAAATAAAAATAATTCAAATAAAAACATTCCAATCCAAAACATACCACGTTAAGAAAAAACATTCAAATCCAAAATAAAAGCAATTCAAACTAAAACATTCCAATCTAGAATAAAAACAATTTAAGCTAAAACAACTCCAATCCAAAATCATTAAAAAAAAAGTTTTTCACTCAGCAAACAGCATGAGCAATAATGTCTAGGAAATAATTCAAATGCAGAAAAGATGCAAACGACTATACCTGCAAGTCTTTTATTTTTGTTTTACTTTTCTAGACAAGCAATTAGTTTCATTAACTTCAACAAACTTATTTGTTTTAGACAGTATATATTTAAAAATAGACAAGGGTTTAAATCCAAACAAAAACTGTGTTTATCAAACATTTAAACTAAATGGATATTCCAAAACTTCTCTAAGAGATTGAGTAATAAATTCATCAATAAAACTTAATATTGTACCCTAAATTTGTGGATAAAAACAGCACTTGCCTGCTTAAGCTTGGTATTGGCATCAACATTTGGACTTTCAATTCTTCTACCTGTGTCCTTAATGTAAGTTACCTCCTCTTGTTTTTTAGGGGGTGCCCCACCCCCAGGTCTCCCCCAGGGGCTAAAATCTTCTGCAGCCTCCGCTAAAAATATTGATTTTAAAGTAACATTTTATATTTCACAGCAAGTGTAAATGAATCAAAGCTAGCGAGTTGTGATACATAAACTAACAAATCCTGACAAATCTACTTGTGTAAATGAATTTAAGCCAGCTAGATATGATATATAAAGTAACAAATCCACTGCAAATAAAACACACACACCTCTCTCCCGAGCCCACTGTAGCCGTTTTCTCTCCCCAACAGTCATGTGTTTCCAGTGAATGGTTTCAGGCATGTCTTCAGCATCTTTCTTAGGTGCCTCTCTAGGGGAGTAAGTTGGAGCCTGGTATGGTCTGGCTCCTTCAGACATTGACTTGTTTTCCTTATCACTGCAAAGAAACAGAATCTTTAAAGTTAAGTTTCCCTTTCAGACTTAATGATCGATAGGCAGAGGAAGTAGAGTTTGTATGTTTCTTGAGCTCAATCTATAAAAGAATGGTGTGGTCAGCACTATCCCTTGCTGTCTTTGCTTTCCCTAACTAGAGTCTGGTATTACATTCAGAGCTAGGAGACTTATTTACAACTTACAGTCTCAAGAATGCCATGAATTGTAATATATTACATAAGTAATGGCAAAATTAAATCATTTCTAAATTTTATGCTTGAAGTTTTCAGAAGTTGTTTCTTCTATCTGTAAGGATAAAATTATGACATATTCCTTTTGTCAGTAATGATTTACAAATGTTTCTAAGCTCTTGTTTGTCAAGTCTTCATAAATAATTTAGGGTTAAATATTACAAAATATTTAAATTGTAAAACAAGAAAATTGATTTCCACAAATAAAAGAAGTGGAAAAAACAGTTCATATTCTAAACTATTTAAATTTTGAATTAAAAATTTGATTTCCCTAAATAACAGTGGAAAGAAATATGAGTATTAACATAGTTGTTGAAGCATGCATGCAAACAAAAACAATACCTTTTATTCCTTTCCATTTTTCTAGATCCAGGCCTATTAATCAGGGCATTTATTCCAACATCAGCCTCATCATCACTCTCTGTCACCTGATTGCGCACTGGTTCTCTACCATTACCACCAGCTAGTCTTTCTACCTCAATTTTGTTTTTGGAAACATCTGGTTGAAGAAAAGCAACTGATCACACAATGGAAATTTCTGTTCAAACCCTCTCAAGTAGAAGTAAGAGTTAAGAAGCTTTAACAGTCTTAAAAAAATGGGACTTATTATATTGTTTGGAAATTGTTTTCAGATTTATACATGTTGAAATGTATCACTTATTGTTTTAAAGGAAATAGTGAAAAAAGCAGTATCAAATAAAATAATTTGATGTATAAAAATGTGTTGTATTTTATGCAATATAAGGGCAAAAATAATATTATATTAAAGTGATTTTAAATTAATTTTGTCATTAAATATTTTTTAAAAGGGTACAATAGCTTCCATTGAAGGGTCTGTTTCTGTATCAACAGTGATTGCTATAAGCCTACTATTACTAAACCAGTACCATATGCAAGTGAGTTACCAATGCTGATCTTGAATGGGTTATCTTTCCCATCTTTAACTTCTGTTTTCCCTAGGGATGCTAGCAGAGCAGCCAGTTGATCCTGGGTCAAGGTCACGGTGCCTGGCTTTATATGAGTGGTACCAGGTGGTACTTGCTGGTCTTGACCTTTAGCCTTTAACCTGCTTGGATCCAAACAGAAAGCTCCTTATAAGTACTGATAATTTAACAAAAAAAAACAGCAAAAATCCAATCAAATGCATGATAAATGATGAGCTAAAATATAATTTTAAAAAATAATGACTTGTGGGATGAGTTAGCTGACTACCTTTCTTTGTTTTTTCTGATGAAGTCTATGTTGTTCTTATTGAATTTCTTTTTCTCTTCCTCCTTTTCTTCCTCAAGTTTAGCATAGATTTCATCTTCATCGGGCTGCCGTATAGGGTGTTTCATCTTTCTTGTTTTATAACCAAACTGAAAAATTTGTAGATGAAGGATAACTTCACTTACAAATAGTGTGCAAAAAATTGTGAAAAACTGTGTTAAGTGCTTAACTTGTTAAGACTAGAGCACAAATCTTGACCCATTTAAAAACCATAACATTTCAAATTTAGGAATTAAATGCATTACCTTTTTTGGCTCGTTTTTTGCTATATTTGGAGCAAAAATGAAGATATTTGTAAATAAAATGACATACATAAAGAATTCTAATGATTTAAAGAATAATGCATAAAAATAATTTGTTTTTAATATAATTAGTTTGCAAATCAGTAAGTACATGAAAACTTAACAACAAAAATTTACTGTGGTAGGCCCTACCTTTTGTGTTCCAGAACACTCCATGAGTTTCTGCATTTTTATTCATTGATAAATGAAGGGCTGTGGGTTTACTGAAATATTTAAAAGATTGGGAAAATATTTATGAAATAAAGAGTATTTAGCAGAACAAGGTTTCTGTGTTGAAAAAGTTGTGGGCCCACTACCTATTTGAAGGGAACTTGGTAGGCCTACTGGTCTAGTTTTTAAACTTTTCAAATCACTGTTTTGAGTTTTGGTGCATAAATTATGATAAATTATGCAACCATAATTTATTGTGTCACAAGTATACAAGTAGCACACCACACCCTCCCTGCAGGTTGTGGTGTTTATGTGGAGAGTGGGTAAGTGTTGTTGATAATTGCAAGACAACCAGGAGACCAGAACAGCAAGTTATTGGAGAATAAACTTAGAAATGTGTTAATTTTTTAAATTGGTGTTAAGCATTCATGTTTTTAATTTCATTAAGTACAAAGATATTAAATGATAAATAGGTCTAATAAATATTGTTTTCAAGCTAAAATAGATTTTCTTATCTGTGGGCCTTCTAAAACTTCTTTGTGTCAATTTTTCTCAGAAAGATACTTCTGTGATTACTAGTCTATAAAATCCTGTATTTCTTGATTAAAACTAAAGTAAAAAAGTCAAGAACTTTTCTGGCACAAAATAGACGATCAATAATTTCTATTTTTCTTTACAAATTTACAGTCTCGCATTTTAATGTGTAGACTCAAGAGCAGCGTTTTTCAATGAAAATTTTAATTCATACTAATACTAGTAACTAGATAGTTAGGAACCCCCACTCTATCTACAAGAAGCACTTTCTCTTGCTAAAGCTATTAAATAGGCCTAAGTAATTTCAGATTTTAGATTTAATAGTAAGACTAGATCTAGCTCTAAAAAATTTAATAATTTAAATATAGAACTACCACCAACCCAACAATATTCACTAAGCATAAAAATTAAAAAATAGGCTTACTAAAAAAATCAGCTTAGTTTAAGACTAATTTTTGGGGTAATCTATCGCTTTAGGTACGTAAAATCTGCCGCGGCTAGTAATGTACGAAAAAGTTACCTCATTGTCAAGGCTTTAATAAATGAAATGTATATTTTGAAATATTTGTGTCAAATTTTATAGATAACTGAATAATAAACCAAAATCAATAGATAAATATATATCAATATTGGCCAGAAATCAACTATAAACAGCAGTGTTTGAGAGCAAGATTTGCTATATAAACAGCAGCCATTAGTAAAATAGTGGCTTCCCCTGTATCTTCCGCTATAAGTTGAACAAAATAAAACTTAAACAAGATGTCTGCTATAGTAAATGAGCATGGTTGTATCTGATGAAAACATCGCTAGTCTTCATTTATTACTGAAAGGTTTTAGGTAGGCCTAATTCAATTGTTTAAAAGCAGGAAAGTACATAGTCTGTCTGACTGAACTGAAGTCATAAATTGAAACAACAAGGAAACATTTTTGTATTTTTCAAAACATAAATCCTCCTCAAAATGTGAAATAATTATTAAAATTTAAGGAGTCACCAGTTTTTCACATTACTAAGTCTAGTCGCGGGTGATTTTACGTAGGCCTACCTAAAACGATTGTACTGATTTTGTAGGCCTAATAAAAAAACAAAAAAATACTCTACCTGACTTTACTCATTGTATGAAATTTTAGTTATTTTTATGTTATAATATCATAATCTTTTAAAACTGACTTTTACGCGTTTCTAAGTGGTTACTTTGGAACAAAAGACAGATCAAGTCTAGATCTAGATCAGGGTAAAGTAAACTTTTATAAAGATCTAGAATCTAATATTAAAAAATCTCAAGTCCCAACAAGGTATTTGTTTGGCTGGTCAACAAGAACTTCCTGTCTAATATAGTTACTCTTCAAAATTGAAAATCCCAACATAAATTGATGACGTCATCTATATAAAGTAAGCTCGAATCCATGTCTAGGTTAGGCCTAGATATTTACTAATATTTAGGCTAAAGACTAAAATGACTAATTTTACTCAATCAAAATGTAGACAACTTATATAAATAGGACTTTTTTTGACGGAGGGAGAGGGTGATCAGAAACTGTGATGTTATCTTTGAAACTCAAGCCGCTATTTCGTACATAACTAAATCTATAATTGTTTATTTATATCAGCTCAAATGTGTCTAACATGAGACGTGGGGGTGGAGTAGGTCTATCTGAACTGTGATCTCATTTTGAGGGTGTATAGTCGAAAACGTCAAAAAGCGTGACCGTCATTTTAGGACGACCTATTTTTTTAGGTAGACTATTGAATTCAATACAAATTGAAGGTGTGATAGATTATTTTTTGCCATTATACCTAACATTATAAAAACACCGTTCCTTTTAAATACTGTTGAGTTCTCTAAGTTTGTGCCCAGTTGGTGATTTGCATATCCATTAGTTCTCTAGTAGGCCTAAAATGAAACATCTGTTCCTAAACATATTGGGGAGACAACTGCTACTGAAACTGGTTGGATTTCTTATCCAAGTTAACTACCTTTATTAAAAAAGAGTTGCATACATAACTTAACTAGGGCTATTTAAATTGTTAGAAAAGAACCCATTCACTCCTACTATTTCATGATTTTGTTATTTTCACTGCAGTTTTCTCAAACCCTTACTAATGAATTATCTTTTTTTTTTAAATTATATATAGAATATAAGTTTTATTCTTTTAAAGCAATACAAAATATCAAATGAAATTATTCACCACAGGCAGCAACAAAGAGCAACGACTCATCTCTTAGAGAATTATCACAATAAGTCATATTAGAGTTAGTAGTTCAACTTTTAATAAAGACAAGTTATACAAAAAATTATGGGACTGATCTACAAATGGATTTAATAAATCAACTTTTGAAGAATTATAACAATTATTAAAAACAAACATTTGTTTCACATTGGTAAAGTGGTGAAATAGTAAAAAATAACATTTGTAACATTCACAAGTTTAATTAACGATATTGCAACAGCTGTAGGAGATTTTTGTATAAAATATTTTTCAAGAGACAAGAAGAAAAAAAAAGAGTAATATTCACATAGTAGATATGAGGCATACATATGTCACATGATGAAGCAACAACAAATTGTGCTTTCACTGAAAGTTAAACTTCCATATAAAAATATATTTCTGTCAGTAAAAAAAATATTAAATGTTCTAAAAATAAAACATGGATTATTAGGATATGGCCAATACGTAGGCCTACTATTGCAGTAAAATATATTTGCCCATGGTGAAATTGTAACATAATTGTAATTAATTATTTTATTTTTTATAAAAGAAATTTATATTTTTGAAAATTATATACACATATATGTCTGCTGTGTATTACTACAAAACATGTAAGTCATGAAAGCCTACAGATGAAAAAAATTCAAAATCCTAAAAAACTTACTCAAGAAGGTAAAGTAAAAAAATTAAATGTGTTAAAGTATAGAAATATGTCATTAGTCATCACAAGAAACAGTAAAATTGCTTCATTGTTTGTAGAACAAAATTTGTTCTATTACAATTGTCACTGTTACAGGTTCCTCCTTATCACAGGGATAGAGTATTTGAGTATAAATAAAGAGATTTTGTCATTTTGTTTTTAAGAAACAAAATCAAACAAACAAGAACAAACAAAATCAAAATAGCAGAAAGCCAATGCAATGCTAGAATACACCTAGCAATTTTCACCAACTATGAAGTGTAAAGTATTAATAGGATAGCATATAAAAAAGTTTTACTTCTCAACTCAAATGTAAATTTATAAACACATCAATAGAATAAACATTAACATGTGTAAAGAGAATACTCTGATTTTAGGATTGACAGGAAAATAATTTCTAAGTATAAATTATACAGGCAACATCACCAAATCCTATTGATTAAAAACATATTTTTATAAACAATTACAATATTCAAGAAATTATTTTGATTTAAAGCACTTAAACACAATAATTGCCCAAAATCCTATCTAAACACATGTATATTATCTCAAAGCAAGATAAAAATTCTAATGTCTGATGACTAGGTATGCATACATTAATTAAACAATTAACAAGAAAAATGTGACAATAAAATGTTGATTAAAAGACTGAATGAATAGAAAAATGTAATACTTTCGCTGGGATTTTGCTTTGTTTTCATAGTTTTTTAAAGTTTATCTACTGATTACAAGATGTCTTACAGTATATTGTTTTCATCTGCTGATGTGATAATTTAATGCTGTTATGGCACTTTTATTGTGGATCAGAAATATTACAGCAAATATCTAAGTTAGTATTAGGAACAATCACTCAAAGATTGTAAACATTTTGTTGCATAATTAGAGCACAATGACTTTTCTGGTAATACTGGATATGTCGAGCGACTAAATTTTTTTTTACATTTTAGAATATACATAACACACAAATGCATGAACGGTAGTTTAAAAAATTAAAAAAAATATAGTATAAATATATAGGGTTATTAAAAAAACTATTATTAAAAAGTTTGAAAATTATTAAAATTTTTAATATAAGTCTGTTTCAATTCTACTAATATGTAGAACATATACATTGAAATATTATTGAATATATACACTGAAAACAACAACATATTATTGCTATAGATTTAAGTAGAGGAAATAACTAAAAGTCATGCTAATTACATCATCTGTATACAGAAAATACAGGTAGTAACACTCATCAAGCTAAAATCTGAAAACGGGAGGTCCATTCCTCACAAGAAATGACCCTAAAAACACTGCAACAAGTCAGCTGGAAAATAAACCTGTCTTGAAAGGATGGGACAAACATGGACAGAGGCATAATCAGCATAAGGGAGGTAGCTCCAAATAATTAGAAATCACAGTAATTCCAGCTAACAAATAACAAATACAAGGAATAAAACACAATTTCAATACAAGAAACCAATCTATTTCTACTTGATGCAGCTAAACTTGGGTGGATTTATCTAGCATGCACTAACTTGACACAGAAAAAAGCCTAACACCAAAACTTTAACACACACAATAACCTAAACCAATAAAACTAAACCAGAAACAGATAGGATAGCTTTATCAAACTTGCAATTACTTAACCTAACACAGAAAAACATAGACTAATCCAGAATAACAACCAAACACAAAATAACTTAACCTAACACAGAAAATTAACTTAAGAAGTAACCTAATGAGCAGAGTAACCTAACCTAACAAAACTTACTTTAAATTAACAAACTAAACATGACACAGAATTTAGAGAATCAGTGTGAAAATTCATGTAAGTATTGTAAGATCATGACCATTAAAATTATAAAAAAAGGACAAAAAAATAAATAAACTACTGACATCGTACCAAATAAAATGCAAGCAGACAATCAGGTGTCATGGTTTATCTGACAATAAATATTATAATAACAGTAGAAGGAATTCTATAAATATTCAATGCTATCTATATATTAAAATGCAGTTTAACTATCAGAAACAAATTCAAAATGGCACATCTTGAGTTTTTAAAAGTAAAATATTTTAAAATTTTGTATAATAAAAATCATAGCAAAATTAACAGACAGAAGCCTCAATAAAGCAGCTAAGTGCATCAACAAAGTAACAATTAGTGCAGGCCTACAATTTGGAGACTACTTAAACTTTAACAGTTTTCTGTATCTAAATGCGTTGCACCTTCCAAGGCAGATAGTCAGATATTTGGTCTGCGGAACTTAGACTTTAGGTGCACTGCGGTCATTGGTCACTGTTTTTTTCAACCTTGACCCCTTGCGTATATCACCAAGCAATGCCATCCTGCCTGACGATGCTGAAGGAGCAGGCGCTGACGGGGGTGGAGGGGGAGGCGGACCTGCTGGTGGAGGTGGGGGAGGTGGCCCTGCTGGTGGTGGGGGAGGGGGTGATGCTGGAGCTGTTTGTGGTGTATATGATGGACCAGCACCTGTAAATTGAACAACATCTTTTGTTGGAGTTGGAGACACTGTGGCACTACCTGAAGTCTTGGATTTCTTCCTTCTGTGAAAATGTATCAAGGATATTTCATTCATGCAAATAATTTTTTTTTAAACTGAGGATAATAGATCATATTACAACAAAATATTAAGTGATTAATTAAAGTAATCAAAATCATTTCTAAATTCTAACATATGTTTAGAATAAAAAGACAACATTTTATTGTGAAATTTTTAGGTAAGTTTCCCTTTCAAACCTGACGGTCTATGGGGCAAGTGAAGTAGAGTTCACTTGTTTCTGTGACCTCGGCTTATGAAGAGATAGTGTGGTCAGCACTATGCCCAGCCGCCTTTACTTTTCCTAACGTGAGTTAGGTACCCATCAGAGTTGGGTGGACTCAGGTACGGTTTACTAACTTAAACCCGGATTCGAACTCGAGACTTACGGGTTAGCAGTCCAGCTCTCTACCGCTAGACCACTCCGTCCTGAGATTTTTAGGTACTTACTTAAATGTAGCTACATTTACGAAGTATTGCTACATTTGCCAAGTATTGCTACATTTGCCAAGTATTGCTACAGTTGCCATGTATTGCTACATTTGCCAAGTATTACCAGCCTAACCTTAACATTGAGGGTTACACACTAAAACTACTGGAAGATTTCTAGACATACCTAGTTGATGCTTGCTTAGATGCCTTGGCAGGTTTCCCTTTCTTCACAGCCTTGAGAACAGATTTCATGGAGTCACTCAGATGAATCTAAAAAAAAATAATAAAATATACGCAAATCTCAATATAGTTAGACAATACAGGTCTAACAGTAAAATAATCTGTGGCGTGAATTATAATGCTAAGATAAATTTTAGCCAAAGATTTAAAGATTAAAGCAAACAAATTTTTTTATTTACTTGTGCTGGATTATATGTAGACATTTCAGGCATGCTGACATCAGCGAAAAATTTGTGATTAAAAATCTGAAACAACATAAAAAAAAAGGCCTGAAATTCATCATAAGGAAAGTATCTAATCTAGTTACCAGACATTTAAATTTTAAACAAATTATAAAAATAATAACTAACAGCTAACTTAGGTATTAATAGACAAATTGATAGCTCTAATATTTTTAAAAATTTGTTAAATAATTAGTTTGAAAAAAAAAAGTTTAATCAAAACTCACCTCCCTAATTGTTGGGTATTTTTTGCTCTCATTTTCAAAAATGAAATTCAAAATCTGAAAGTAAAATATTTCAAAATAACTAAATTATGAAGAAATCAAAATTAAATAAAGGCCTATTTATTTTATATTATACTACAACTGAAACACTATTTCAGTAACTAGAACAAACTGTGAATGTTTAAAATTAGATTTATTTACCTCAATAACAGAAGGTTCTTTCTGCGTGACCAGGTGCTGTGGTTGTGGGTGGGATGTGGACAACTCATAGCCAAATGAGATCTCAAACAGAAGATGGCCTGTTGTTTTATAAACAGTGGCACAATATATTTTATAAGGTTTTTTTGTCAAAAAAATTTGTGTCACAAAGAAGCAAACTTTTAAAATTCCTTCAGGATTTATTCTAAAACTTTAGTGGGACAATTTAGGTGTAACTTTTTATTTACTCTTTATAGAATGCAAATTATCTTTTACAAAAGATTAATTAATCTTCTTGGCCTCACTGAGTCAATCCATTATTCTACATTGTAGACATTACAAAATCATAAAATAGTTTAATCTTTTAATCTATTGAACTTTTTAAAAAAAACCATTACATTTTAAAACATGGGATGAAATAGATATTAATTATTTTATTATAAGCTTTTTAATACTTTTTCACTGTATGAGTATCGAGGGTTGAAGTAAAAATAAAAGAAATCAAACTTCAGCAAACTAACCGAAGCAAAGACTGTCCAGCGCATCTTTGTTTTCATCTTTCAACTTCTTTTTCACCAATGTGTACACCCTAGAAGTATTTCCTATAAATTTGTTTTCATAGCCGCTGATTCTGTAATCGGTTAAAATAGATTTAAAATGTATACAATGAATGGTCAGGATAACTCACCAAAACAGTAATCTAGGAAAGACTATTAAATTGCTATACATTAACTTTCCTACCTGCAAATACCATCTTGAAGCATGACATTTCCACTCTGTAGATTACCATGTGTGGGAAAGCCCTTTTCTTCCAGATATAGCATGCCCTATAAATATAATGTAACAATATTTAACACATCAAAAATATTTAAATAGACATTGACATTGCGATTAAAAAAATAAATTTAACATAAAGTTAAACCAAAGATATATAAATCAATATTATATAAGTGTATACATAAATTATTGGCAATTAAAAAAAATCTATTTTCCTAGTGAATGTGGAAGGTGCAAGAATTATCTTTATTACCCATGTTTTATTTTATTTATATTTCTACAATTTTTTTTACTTTGGCAAAGTAGTCTATTAAAGAAATTTTCAAACAAAACCATATGGAGGAATGCAACCCTAAATGCAGTATAAACTTACATTAAGAATCTGCTTCCCATACAGCTTGATCAGGTTTAGAGGTAATCCTTTACTTTTATTTCTGTATTTTTCAAACCAATTCTCAGAATAAGGACACTGTAAAGAAAATGTGAAGTTATATTTAGATTAAAATAATGAAGAGTGGAATAGAATTACCGTAATTGTTAATAATGCAATGTTTTATATTTCACTTCAACATGCCAGGATTAAAAATTACCCTAGAAAGTTTTGTGTTGTCCATGTTAAGAATGCAGACATCACTTTATATTAGACAAAAATATGAACTTTGATTCAATTTTGCTATGGAACAATTATTGGATAAAAAAACAAAACAAATAAAAGTTGCAATAGTAATTTTAAAATTGAAATGTTAAATTGTCATCCATTATAAAGAAAATATACATTGATATGTATTGATTTTACTGATCTACATTTTTAGCTTTATTTTAGAAAGCTTACAAAAATTGTATTCAGCAAAAAATAAGTTTCTGGTGTGAAAACTGTAGATGTATGATAAATTAAATCATCAACTTTTAAAAAGAAAACCATTTGATTAATAAATTAATTGTTAAAGGAATGGAAATTTTTATAAAAATACCATAGAAAAAAAATATTACAGACTTTTATGAACATTATATGAAAATCTGCTATATGAGATTTAGACTCATGATTAAAACTCACAGGTGCTATGAGCTAGTTAAATTGGAATCTGCTGATAAGAAAGGACATGTTTATTCCTTTGTTATATAGACCTATTCTTCTTTACCAGAGTGCTTGTTGATTGTTTATCATTACTATAAGGTTTTAGAAATCTATTTCATTATTGTAGACTGAGATGTTTGATTTACCTGATAGACCATGTCTTTCAGTGATCCACGGGCTGACACAGGCTGGACAACAAACACAAGATTCTGTTCCACAGCAAAGTCAAAATCATGCATGGGAAAGATGTGTGGATGCTGCAACATAAAAAAAAAATTAGCAAAAAGAAAGTAGCAAATATCACCACAAAAAGTGCTACTTAATCTATCCATCGTGGAACAGTGTGGTTGGATGGTAGAGTGCATAATTGCAAGTCAGAACATCTCGAGTTTTGATCTTCTTGGTTCTGCTCGACTGAGGGCCATCTCCTAACTACTTCATGTTTGACCTATTTTGAAATATATCTTTTTTTTTAGCATCATCACATTGGGCTGGAGTCTGAAAGACCTCCTTGAGTCAACCCAGCTCTAATAGTTGCCTGCCTCATATTTGGGAAAGTAAAGATATCTAGGCAGAGTGCTGACCACACAATTCTTTGAGGTCACAGAAATAGGCCAGCTCTACTTCATCTGCCCTATTGACAGTCAGGGGAACTAACTAATCTGCCGATCACATCTAAAGAATACTTTATTTGCACTATATTTATTCTACTATCCTATATTTATTCTACTATCATCATCCAGATGAAATTAATTTGATAACAATTTCTTATGTGTTTGTTCTGGTAACTTCCTCATCCAGGCTGTCATATTTGGTGCCTACAGCTCATCGCTGGGATAGCATGGCCAGGTGGTAGAGAGCTCAACTGTTAACCCATATTTCTGGTGTTCAGATCCTGAGCTTGAGTACATAAGTTGTCTCTGAATGCACCCAGCTCTAATGGATGCCTGGCTAACATTGAGCCAAGTGAAGGCAGCCAAGGTTTGTGCTGACAGCAATATCCCTTCATTTGCCAAAGTCACAGAAACAGATGAACTCTACTGCCCCATGGCTGCCAGATTCCAAAAGATAATTTTATCATCCATATCAAAACTTTTGAGCTTTGTTGATTAGTTATATGCCATGCCTGGTCTTTAAAAAAATTACTTGACTCTAGTCCCAAAAAAAAAACTACATGTTTACTAATCAGCTGATAGCTCTAAATAAAGTACCTGTAGCAAAGAGAAAAGGTCCTTGATAGTTTTACTGCTGGCTTTTGTAAAGGGGACAGCAGTGACAAACTCTGCAGGAACACAGCTCAGCATCAGCTCTTTGTTGGTCCCAGCAACAGACACTATGAACCAATGCTTATTTATTCTGCTTCCTGTTGGAACAAAAAACTTGTCATCATCTTATTTCAACAGCTTCATTAAATTATGATTTGAATTTCAAACATAAAAATTGTTTTATCAGACATTTTGTGCAAAAAATGTTTTTTCCTTTAAACAATGCCACATTAATAATTGTTCATATAGCAAGTAATCTTTAACCTTTAACCACATTTTAAGACTGCTTGTTTTAAAAAAAATATTACATTAATGTGACAAGATATAGTCCAGGTTAAGGGACACAATTATTTGTTTTCAGATAGTGAAATATTTTAAAGTTAATATTAAAAAAAAAAAAAAATTGAAACAGCAGGGGAGATAACCTAACCCTTTTATTGGAAAATGGGTTTTTTAATGATTTTTTGGGGATCAATAAAATGATAACATTTTTGTGATTTAAAATAGAAATAAATGATTAGAAATAAGTGTACCAAGTTCGCGACACTGCTGCATGTTAACATAGCTGGGGTGAGACCGCAAGTAATACTGGCAGCTCATGTAGAAATTATCTGTGGAATATACAATGTTTTATAGTTGAGCAACAATATTTATAGTCCAGATGCTGACTTGTTAAGAAGGAATATAATAACATTAAAATTAGGTTTGTGTCAAAAACCTGACAAAACTCCACATAATTAAATTGTTAAACTCTCACTAGACAAAAAAAAATAGACTTTTGTAGATATCAGAACAAAAAAAACAACACACTGGTTGCATATTAATATATCTACTAATTTAAGAACAGCACGTAAGAATCCAAATAGAACTTTGAACTTAGGTTATGGGTCAGGGCTTTGCTTTAAAATAAAGAAAGCTGCTCAGTGGGAGAAACTTGATTCTAAATTTAATATCGAGGTCAATAAAAACACAACAGCTATAATGATATAACTGTTTGTTTCTATTAGGTTCCAAAACTATTATTAATTATCTAATTCAAAAATGGAGAAATTAATAGACTTTGACTTCAGCTGTCTGTAAGGTCTGTAGGAAAAACTTGATTCTAGGTTTTAGAGTTAAATTCATTATTAGCTTTCGGCTATAGCTTTGTTTTCGGATGTCTTGACACCGTCCATCAGAGACCCATTAAACTTTGGGGAGTTGATGAGAATACTCCTGAGAAGGTTTCTTCGGGGAAAAACATTAGCATTTTTTATATGGGCATTGAAACGGGCTCTAGTTATTTTCCTTGATGTTTGATTTTGGAGTTATTTCTCCTAGAAGAGTTGCTGTCCCCAGCTATTGAGCCTCATCTGCCTGAGGGTCTGAACTCGAGACTTTTCGGCTAAGCAACCACGAGCTTTACCAACTCGACCACGCCGACCCCTAGCTAAGTTGCTAAAAAAAGGTCAAAGTACAGTTGCTGATAAGTTTTTTACAACTAGACTTATAAGTTATATGTTCAAATAAAAACAAGGGCAGCAGGATCACTAACCTCTGACCTTAGTCTGCTCAACTTCTCTCTCTCTGTTCATCTGTTCGGCCAGCTCCGCTTCATGCTGCAGTCTTTTGTACACATAATGGCTGCCATTTATTCTATCAACAAACACAGGAAATCATAAGGTTAAACCCTGATGTGACAATGAGGTTAAAGTACAATATAATCAAAATATTTTGAAAACTGACTGACGGACAATGCTATATATTGTTCTGTGAAATATCTACTTGAACCAACATCAATTTATCTATATATATAATTCTCTTCTGGGAGCCGTTAGAAAACAAGCTGCAAGCGCCTCCTTGCAGTCCCCTCTCTTTCTCTCTATCACTATCACTACCATCCCCACCCCACCCCCACATTGTCTGGTGAGCTGTGGTCACGCTGTTTACATTTTACAATCATAGAGACGGGTTTGGTGACGGCTATTAGGGGCAGATAATTTAGTTTGAAACGATTTTAAACTTAGAGGAGGTAACTAAGAGGAGGCTGCTTTCACGTGGGGGGGGGGGGAGGGGGGGAGGGGGGGTTTAGTGTTTTTAAGCAAATATTTTCAGTGGCAGCATTGGTACTGTCGAATTCACAAATTATGAATTACTGAAAAGTAGAAAAAAACAACTAAAAAGCGGCGTATGATACACCGCAGGTCGGCTCGTTTTAAATAATTGTCTTCTCAGTGAATATGGTTATTACATGAAGACACAACTTAAAGAATAATTAAAGGGTCTGCATGGTCTCATTCAGCCATAATTAGTACCCAGTTACAATTGGGTAGAAGATGTGACAGTTGGCCATAAGTAAACTGAGTTGATTAATGGAAACAGATGTAGGACACAGGAAACTCCAATTTTTTTATATTTTTTGGACAAGACAGTAACTTGTTAATAAGTTGTTCTTACTTAATTTTTTTAGCATCTGTACATATAACAAAATTAAATTTCTTTGAACTTTTTGGGAGGGGCACTATTTTTCTTTGAAATTTGGCTTTAACTTACACTGTGCAGTAAATGCAATGAATTTTATTGTTAACATTCCAAATGGGTGATTAAATTATTATATCAGCAAGCTCTAGATTGTTATCTATAATTTTGTGATTTACCCTTTGTCTCTCCAATTATTAAATGATTTATAATTCTTTTAACAAAACATTTTTTTTACTGATGACATCAACTATAAAAAAAAAGGAATTGATTTTAATTAAAAAACAAGCTTAGATAATACAACATGTAAAACATCTATTTAAAAAGAACCATCCCAAAAGTTAAAAATAACTTAAAACTGGGTCACTGTATCACAGATGGTTAATACATTTCCCTTTAAACTTTTATCAAAATGATTCAATATTAGTTCAGCATGCTTTGTCATGATACAAATTATTGATTATGATTACTGAAGTAGTAAGACATTGGCCTACATTAGAAAAAGGACATTCCAGAGTGGTCTCACCTTCGTTTTCTGAAGCAACAGCAATATACAATAATTACTATGGCTACTAAAACTGCTATTCCACTAATCACTGGAACCTGAAAAATGCCAGGAATGAAAACATGAGCATATAATATAAATCATATTACAAAACTGTGTACACAAAATGATGTTACTCATTTAATGCTATTCTGTAAAAGAAAGGCATTCTAACTAAATGAAAAGTAGATGGCTCATAAATGGGTACTTGTAAAAATATCACAAATCATCTGCACTATAGGTATGAATAGTTTAACCCTTATGTATGGTAGCGGCTGGTTACCAGGCCGAAGGTCTAGAGTTCATACATAGGTTTGAGCTCAGGAGTGTCAGAAGTCCATCACCTCACCGAGCTGTGATGGGCACCTCAATTACGTTGGGAAAAGTAAAGGCATCTGGGCAAAGTGCTGACACACCATCCTTTTGTAAATCAAGGTTAAAAACAAAATTTACTTCATCTGTCCATTAGATTGCTAGGATACTTTAATAATAGGATACTTCAATAAGTATGGTTATCAGTTTGAAAGAGCAGTTAGAGACAACATCAGATGTCATTTAAGAAACATATTTTTTCATGATGTTAACACTTTTATATCACACCCTGGGATATCAATGTTATCAAGTGAAGTGATGCTAAATGCTAATATTTGAGATATTTTTACTCAATTTAAATTGTAATAAAACCATTAGATACAGCAAAGAAAAAAACAACTATAACTAGATAACAGACTGCTGTTCTGTTCTTTTAAATTTTAAAACGGTTTTGGAGATAAGGTAAAGTGCATAGACAATTAAATGAGAAGAGCCACCCACATTTTTCAAAAGTTCTACAAATAACTTGTTATGCTGTACTGAAGTAGCAGTCTTTAGAAACGAATCAAAATTTAGAGCCTCTAATTATTTTTAAAATTTCTTTCATATCTCTTTCCCAATTCAGATTTTGTTAAGATTTTGAACTGATTAACTGGCTTATTCCTTGTAATTTTCATCTGAGGTTTTCTATCCAATTTGTCATTACAAGGACTATTGATCCTTTATTACGAGTCAAAACTGCACTGCTAGAGGGAGACACTATAATATTCTATGATTTTAAATACATGAAAATAAATGATGAAAATGAGAAAATAAATAGAAGACAATTTAACTTTAAAACCATTAGTCATTGTTTAGAGGGAGCTAAAATCTTATTTTCTTGTTTTCAATTTTTTATATAATATATATATAAGCCTACCTACTAAGCGAGGATTATTATTGTCTATAATATTCAATGTAGAAAAACATAGGCCTAGTAAATGTGTTGACTAAAAAAGGAGTGTTCAGTTGTTACAATGTTACTAGTTAACTAATCTGCTTTTATATACATATTATATATATATATATATATGTATATATATATATATATATATATATATATATATATATATATATATATATATATATATATATATATATATATATATATATATATATATATATATATATATATATATATATATATATATATATATATATATATATATATATATATATATATATATATATATATATATATATATATATAATTTAATTCAGCTTAAATGACAAATGGGATGCTTATGATGGCAGATGTATTATTTCTGAATGAAAAATGATGCCTGAATGAATGTCTGAATAGTAAAAGTATATTTTTTATGAAAATCCAAAATAAATGCCTAAGAAAGAGGTTCTAGATCGCTGGCCAGCAAGAGAACTACAAACTTTCTACAAGCATTCCACAGACTTATCAAAGAGAAGCCAATTGGGGTTCTATGGTGCAAATTTTACACATTGTTCAACAGGAACTGGACATTACCCAGGGGCAATTAACCCCAGTCATCGCTAAATGACTCTAAACATTTTTTTTTAAGTGTTATAAATTTTATTTGAATTGATTTCTGAAAAAGGCACCACTATCCTGAAAATGGTCATAGACATAGTTCCTAGACATACCTGTTTAGACCACTGCTACCAGTATATTACCATGACTATATGTATTGTGCAAATCTATATTAACTATATGCTAAAATGACAAACTGTTGACTATGTCACTAGTGTACTACTACAGTAATATATTAATAACTAGTGTCCCCGTTCCAGTGCGATGCCGCGGTCTGAGAATATAGTCTGACACAATATTTTAAGAAGGTTTCATCAATGCATTACCAATCCTATATTCTTAGACTGACCTTGTTTTCTAAAACTGAGTTATTTAATAAATGTAAATGATGCCTGCGGGAAAATCCTAGGATCATATTTGTCTGGGCAAAGGTTTGCCCCCACTACCGCCTATGTATGAAAACCTTGAGTGTACGTTAATCACTCACAGTAATAGCGAGGTAAAATACACTTCGGCAACCACCCAGGTGTCAAGGACATAGCAGGGTGCTCTCGGGTTCCCTAGATTACACTACTGCAGGGACACGACATATGGCCTTGGCTCAATTTAATCAACGAATTTCATGTGCCAGCGTCACGTATCAGTATTGTAGAGTGCTCTTTAAAACTAACGTAGCTCATAGCATAGCACAGTGCACCATTTTGAACAATCATTGCCTGATTCAATTTAGTGATAACTATATATATATCCACAGAATATAGCACTCTATAAAATGAACGTATGGACAATATACTATATAGACAGGCCTATCTCTAGAATATTCTAGACTCTAGATCTAAAATATTTTCAGAAATCTTTCTTACGTAAATGTGGTCCTTCAACCAATCGTCTGCGGTGTCTTCCATAGCTAGATCCTACACCAGAGTTAAAAGTAAAATAGTAAATACTAAACTAAATAGTAAATAGACAGTTAATAAACGAAATACTAACTCCATACAATTAAATGTATTAATTAATAGGCCTAACACAACTGCAACTAAATCTATTACTATTAGATCTGTAGGCCTATTCTATACTTAACTATAAACTATACTATACTATATTGTAACTATATTTATTTAATATATGCCTACTAGGCCTAATAATTATAATATAGGCCTAGACCTATTTATTTAATATTTATTACTACTAGATTTCTATAGGCAAATAGCTAGATCTAGATCTAGATCTAATCTAGATTAGATATTTAATATAAAAATATTAGAATCAAATAAAATATAAAACGTAAAACAACCTTGTTTTGTTGTTACCTTTGGCTCGGTAGGATAACTTGTAAAAACAGTAGATCTGTGTTTTTATTCCAAATACGGCTAGAACAAAAACTCCTTCATTTATAGATCTAATCTAGATTCTAGTTTTATTTGGTAAAAACGACACTATCCATATCAATATCCATATTATTATATTTATTATTTTATTCAGTAAGGATTACATATATTTTTATAAACATTACACCTCATGATGGTCATGTGATAAAATCAAATAGGCCAGTAATACTGTTGATAAAAATCATAGGTTAAGACCTACGTTTTATCATTTAAAGAGAACTATTTTTAAAATAAAACATTTGAATCAATACTGGATACTACACACATATTTGCATTTATTAATATTATACATTTTATTAAAGTTATGAATAATATATGGATACTAGCATTTTAATTATGCTTTTGACGTCATGGTTTTATTGGAAATGGAAATATTTTCTAAAGTCACAATGGAGATTAAAATATAAATAATCATTTCATTTTAAAATATTTGTCTAAATTATGAGTCGATGTACATAAACAGCAATACTTCAAAATAGATTGAAAAGTAATAAATATGAAATCAATAATACACATGTGCAGATTTCAAATGAGAATTTAGAAAAATCTGCGACCTATTTTTTTTCAGGTGTGGCATGTAAACAAAGACAGGTGAGTGGCGGATAATTTAATTTTGAATCCTCATAGTAAAACTAGATTTAATTAATTGAAAGGCATGTGACAACTTTACCTTGCAAATTTACGTTATTTTTTGTGTACTTTTATTCAGTTTTAATAGAATTAACTCCAATTCTTTGCTGGTTCAAAATTTAAAGGTTAGGGCCTAAATAAAATTATAAAACACATAGATCTACATCATGATCACTCAGCACTGCTCCTCAGGCTCGACTCACAAGACAAGTTTTAGTGTAGTGTAAATGACAAGTTCACATGGTCAAATAAATGAAATAATATTAATAATTTAATAGAAATAGGCTATACTATTGCGCTATTATATGGCCTATAATTTATTAAAATGATTGGACTTACATTACATAGATCTCTAGATCTTGATCTACATTCTACATCGAGTCTCGGTCAGTGACACTCGACTGCAGAGCCAGATGATGATCTAGACTATTCTAGACTCTAGTTCTAGAGACTAGAGACATCTAGAATTCTAGATCTAGATCTAGTCTAGACCAACATCTAGATCTCTAGATCTAGATTCTAGATCTAAAACGTCGGTTTATCTACTTCTAGATCTACTACTAGATCCGCAACACCCTCTTGATTTCTACTATTCTCGTTGGTGCTTAGGTTGTTGATTGAGATTGTGTGAGTGCTATTTTTAACTATTTTAGAGTGTGGCTTAATGGAATCAAAGTAAAAGACTAATAAATTAAATTTTAATACTTATGTCTCTTACTCTTAACTTGCTAGTTTAGTCTTTAGGTAGCTAATAATATTAATATTAGGCCTAGGCTAATACAAATAGTAGTTTAAAATATTAAGTATTGCACTACAGGCTGTAGAAAAGAGTCGTATGATTAATTGATTAATAGATGTAAAATCTAGTAGTCCTAACTAATTAGTACTATAGTTGAGGAAGCCCTAAAGATAGATCTACAAATTTCAATTTACTTTGGTATTGTGATGATACAATACACATTTATTAGGTTGAGGTAATGCCATAAGTGAAATGGCTTGCATTTAACCATTACTTTTTTTACTTGATTAGGCCTACATTCTCTAGTCTTAGTCCGTGTTTCTTCCAGACTTTTCTCTGTGGGGGCACTTGATATTGGGGGGGGGGGGGGGTAGACTTTCTTTGATATTTGTCGTCCCTCCCCCCTGCCTGGAAGAAACTCTGGTCTTAGTGCTATTGAACATATAATCTAATTAAATAGTATCTAACATGGTTTCTTGTAGATATTTTTGTCCTGGGGGGGGGGGGGGGGGAATGAGAAGACACACCACTTGTTAAAGTAGGTTTTTTATTTGTAGGCCTACATTATATAGGCCCTATGTTTTCTATTTTGGTTTAGATCTCTTGTTTTTAATTTTTGGTTTTTATTACAAGCAACATCAATTAGAAGTACTGTTGATATTTTTTGTATTATTTCTTCTGCTGAGTTTGAAAATATTGCGCAAACTTAATAACAAATACAGGCTATATTAACCTAAACCTTTTCTAGCAGGACTAGCCTTCAATCTATGTGGTATCACCTGTACACACATGCATAAGTATATATGTATATATATATATATATATATATATATATATATATATATATATATATATATATATATATATATATATAATAAATAAATAAATGTATATATTAATACAAAGGCATATATATGTGAATATGTGTGTGTGTAGTTAAGTAACCGCCTCTCATTATGACTAATTTAATTTTCAGTTTACACCTCTGGCAGCTCAATATAAATTAAAAAAAACAACTTCAGTGATATCCTTTAGTAATAATAATGAACTTGGATGGGCCTAATAATTATCTTATAAGAAATTACATATTTGTGTCACTAAGCCTTAATTCCTATTTATAAAATATTGCCCAAGATTGTGCCTAATAGTTTAAATGGTAAAAGTATCTGAAATATCATACTATGTATAATTTGTATATACAAAAACATATGGTTCTTTGACTGTATGATTATAAAGGGCGATATTAGTGATATAATAAAAATAACGTAACACTGCCTTGCGTACATAAAGCTAACTACCAATTTAACGATTGATGCCGAAAGGTATCTTGTAAAGGTATATAGTTATCACTATCAGGATCATTGTTGTCTCTCTGGCCAGACTTCAACGTGAGAAAGATCTAGGGTTACATACAAACAATTGCCCATTTAACCCACTTGATACTCGTTTGTTTTTCGGGGTATTAAAAGCAAGGTGACGTCACCCAGTCGCGGTGACACACCGAGGGTGTTGTGTACCAAGGTGACGTCACCCACTCGTGGTCAGATACCGTGGTCAGATACCGAGGGTGTTGTGGACCAAGGTGACGTCACCCACTCGTGGTCAGATACTGAGGGTGTTAGGACCACGGAAATGCTTCTCGTTTCTAGTAAGAAGACCGAGTGAATGGATATTTTCTGAACAGGAGTCTCCATCCAGTCTTGTGGCTTAACCATCCTGCCCAGGCATGTCAATACAACGAACAACAATATATCTGTAATCTTTAACTACATGAATGTATGGGTAGAAAAGTAATTGTAGTGCTTATCCAAGAGGGTCACGGTTTTATTCATCTCTGCCCCTGTTACTTCGGGCCCGGGGAGTTTGGCCCTACACCTCCCACCAGACGAGTTGTGTTAAAGCAACGCCACGCAAGTAACCGGGCCCGAGACTTCTCACATCAAACATATAACGGAGAGGACCGGTTTCTAATCAGTGTTTCTTCCAGACTTTTTTCTCCGGGGGGGCACTTGAAATTTTCGGGGGGGGGGGGGGGGGCGGTAGACTTTCTTCGGTTCGGGGGGGGGGGGGGCGGACACTGTTAAAAGTATATATTTTCTATATAAATTATATAAATTTCATTTCGTTCGGGGGTGCGGTAAAAAAATTTCGGGGGGGGGGGGGGGCGACTTCGCCCCCCGAAGAGATGCCTGGAAGAAACTCTGTTTCTAATCATCCTACATGGCGTCATTTCTGTCAATGACAATTGTGTTTTTTTTTAAACTCGGTTTGTGTAGTAGTAGCAAACTTGGTCTGGGGTCGTAAGAATCTACAAAGTGAAGGGTGATCGTTGTGAGAAGCCTAGATGTTGAATTAAAATTTGGAAATCGTAAGAAAGAAAGGCGTCCACGATTAACTTACCATTTCACTACAGCTTTGTTCGAGTTACATATTGTCGAGATCCCTGAATCTCTCCCCTAAAACTAGTATATTCAACTCATTGTGGAGGACACGTTTCCCATTTTTGTGTTATGTAATTTGTGCACGTTCCCAAACAGCAACCCAGTATTTCTGATCTGCATGTGCGAAAAGATCTTCATGTGCAAAAGACTCACCAAGCTTTGTTATTGAGCACTCGTTTTGCCCAGTATAAACAGTAGAGGAGTAGTATCTGGGGACATTGCCTGCATGTTACAAGGAACATTAAGACTGATTTGTATTCAAATCTTATAGAGACAGCTAACTCGTCAGCAGTGCCGGCGCCAGGTTATTTAGCGCCCGAGGCAAAACTCATTAAAACGCCCCCTTTCACACAAATGTGTGAAAAACATATGTATAACAAAACAATTAATTAAAAGTGACGTATTAATTTATTATCAATTGCATACACGTTATAAGTAGACATCAAAATCAAATTTTAATCGCCTCCTTCGTCTCAAAAGTTCAATTCCAGTTTGCAAGCGTAATCACATTTTATTGACATTTCTGCTAAGTCCACGTACCTACTTTGTACTTTACGACATTCCCCCCCCCCCTCTCCGCCTACAAGTGTTCCCCCCCCCCCTTCCCGGGTGAAAAAAGTCTGGAAAAAACCCACTGAAAAACAAAATTTCCTGTAGTGTTGCGCTCTCTGCAGTCTTCCCAAGGTGAGTTCCAAAACGGAACTTACCTGTTTTAAGCTTGAGTGTCTTTAGTTATAATGGTAAAATTTCTATATTGTGTGATTATGAGACAATTTTTTGTTTTTTGAAAAATAAAAGGTTATAAATGTTATAGATTCCAACCTAAAATTGTTATATATGAATCCTATAGGAGAGGGATATCTACTAACATTAAGTATTGCAATCTACAGCGGCTACTGATGTATTTGTTTTTCAACTTGATAATGCTAAAAATCCTACCAAACTATTTTGTTTAGTACTTCTGCTCTATATAATTTTTACAATAGCAAATAATAACTTAAAGTTATATTTATATGTAAGCGGTCAACCTAAGATGCAGAAATTTGAAATGAATGTAAGGTTAAGCGACGAATTATCTCCCATTTGAAAATACAAATAAACAAAATTTTATTCAAGTTCAAGGGAAATAACTTCCACAAGAATAGCTAACTTAACCAAATGTAACTAAGACATGTTTGAAAAACACAATAAAACGCTCTAAATTTCATAACATAATAATTATAACAAATCTTTTATATTTGCTATGTAACCTTGTGAAAACAATATATTTTACATATTGAATACTTAACTGTAGATTTTGATTGAAAGTCTAAAAAC